GGTGTTTGGCGGGAAATGCAAATGCAATACCACTTCTACGGAACAAGTCGCCACATGTTCTAACCCCCAACCTGGAGGGCCAGGAGACTGTGTTCGTCAGACCTCTAACCATTGACCAACCTGGTATCGGAGACTCTGTGAGTGTCGTGGGACACTCTGCAGTATAGCTCAATGGATCGCTGAGGTGCGCAAACCGTCACACCACGGTAAGGTCCAGTCTCTTCGTGACGGATCGGTTCTTCAGGGATCGGTTCCTTGACCTAAAAAAAAGCCAACCAATTTGGCAACTTAAACATTTGGCCTGACGAAGCATTCGTGTCAAAAGCGAGACGTTCACCAAACCTCTAATGAACAACGGTAAGGTCCAGTCTCTTCGTGACGGATCGGTTCTTCAGGGATCGGTTCCTTGACCACCTTAAAAGCCAACCAATTTGGCAACTTAAACATTTGGCCTGACGAAGCATTCGTGTCAAAAGCGAGACGTTCACCAAACCTCTGTAAAATGAACAACCGTGCTTCCCGATTAGCAAACGTGCTTTCACAGGGACAAGAACTGATACCGCAGATGAAGTGAAAAGCGATCAGTGAAGTGTAGTTAGTAGCCAGACAAAGGGTTGGAAAGCGTTTCCTAAAGTAATGTGAATCCTTGGGGCTGTTTTCTGCTTTCAGCAGCATAACAACCAAAGGGACCAAAGAAAACACCGTCTAAGGTATACCAAAGGTGGCACACAGTTAGTGTTCAACCGAACAAGTGAAAACTAGAGTCAACTAACCTGAATCGTCAGACTTGGACGGCCCACAACGAGCCACTGCCAACAGGCCAAACAGCTCTCAACCACCTCAGTTCGGAAAAGACGGAGAGGTGCATGACATATTTCTCGCAACAGTCGCCTGGCACAATCTCCTTGCATGAGAAAGCTATCGTCGTGTAGCTCCTCAATCGAAGCGCCAGTAGATGGAGACTTATCGGTGGGACTTGTTCTGGTAACAGGATAAACCTCCACTTGTATTTTCCCGGTATCATCAGTCCGCATTGTAAATCTTCGTCGGCGCAGCTTTCGACGAATGGCTCGAACAGGTTGCTTCTCTCCAGCTTCATCATCTGCAGACTCCACTTGAGTTAAGTCTGTGTCCTCATCGGGGTCCGTGGAGTCAATGTGCACAAGCTGTTGACCTGCATCGCTGGCTATGTTCGATGTTCGCATGACCAATAGGGAAGTCATTCGGAACAAGCAGGCCTGAACAGCACCGAACATGTTACTTTCATCGAAATGAGACTTCCTTAAACTTTCAGATTCAACCGATCTGACAGCTAACACCAATGTTTGAATATCAGTCTCTGCTTCGGTAGTTCTGACTGAACGGGATGCTAAAATAGATGAAAATGGATGGAAGACAATGAATTAAGGCGTAAAAATGCTTAAGTGTGGGATACATCTAGCAAGTAACGTGAAATATCAAATAATATATCCTGCCTATGGCCAAAGCCAAGAAAGTTGGACAGACCTCTAGCAGACAAAGAAAAATACAATAAAGGCTGTGACACTGTCGCTTAAGTAGGGTCCGTTCAAAAAAATCGACCTTGAAGGCTCTCCATCGTTGCAGTAGCGAATCAAAACGGTGCTGAAATGAACTAAGGGACATAGGAACCACGAAAGTGTCTCCTATGTAACTTCAAAGATCTATATGAAAGTATGAATATGCTTTTTCTACAGTTTGTCACATTGAAGAGCATCTTTGTTATAAGCTATCTGGGGGAAGTGGGGTGTTCTCCAACGGCATGAAGGGACGGATGAATGACACCAGTGCTCTGGTGTGATGCTCTTTGTGACGCCGCTATGCACAAAAGGCCACTGGCTTTCAAAAGGCCCGTGTGTTTGCTCTCTGATATTACTGCTTCTGGCTTACACACACATCTGGCTTCTTGCAAACTGCTTGTGGTTCACCAACTGTTTACAGGCATACTGCGGTTCAAACACTGCTGACCGGCAAATCTGTCTCGAATGACAACCCAACACATAACTACCCCACAAAACTGGTAGAATCTGATCACCATTGTATTCTGATATAGTGAAACACAAAATCAGATACAGGGTACTAAACACTGCGTTCAAAGATAATGCAAGATCCCCGACCTGGCAGTGGTACCGCGTTTTCTTCGCTTGCAGATCACACGCTGAATACGAGTAAAGAAAGCCAATCAGATACGTTGCCGCCGTCTGCAATTCTACCCACTGGTTGCTAGCCGACATGATCTGATCCCGCGGCTACCCCCAAAATACATGCTTCTCATGCACCCTCTGCATGAGAAGCTGCGTTCAAAATCTTAGTTGGTGTCGACCTTTCGCTTAAAGCGAAACGCAAAAGCGGACATTCACTACTAAAGGTAGTTTGGAAAAAGACTGATAGTCCAGTTAGCTAAAAACAGAAAATGGACTAAAGAACAACTGGTTTCCGATGTAGTTCACTAACGATGATTGAGCTACGATGTCAACTGGTACGCCTGTACGGTAGCTCGTAGGCGCGTTGAACCCAAGAAGTTTTGCTCAATATACCAGCGTCATATGCACGACCACCGACCCATCGCTACGCTCCACTATGCGCACTGATGGCGACAACCAAGTTGCCCAGCTCAGGGAACAAACCAACGACCATATGTGCGGTTAAACTGTTGTGTACCAGTTCAAACTAATCGGCCGAATTCCAAAAAAGCAAACAGCGCTCACAGAGGAGACGCTAACTCGGTTTACCAGTCCATAAATTTACTTGCAGCATAGAAATACACGAAACCCGCGCGAAGGAAGCATGACCGACCAGTTCCGACTTATTCTGATACAGGACGTTTGCTATGGTAAAGATAATCGAAATCAGTAGGTAAGCATACACACAACAGTTATTTGATTAGCCTCAGCCAGTGACACAGATGATAAAACCCACCAAATCTTGAAAGGGCAGGTCTCATTGGGGTTCACCAAGTACGCGTTTTGACACTTTATACTCACCCAGAGTGCAAGCACAATCCAAGTCACGAATGAGCCTATTGACCAGTTTGACTGGATCATCATATGAACGAAACATTCCGGAAGCCTGAAATAAAACCGTCGAACGATGAAGTAGATTCGCAACGCACATGAAAATGTCGGATGGAAGGATCCGGCAATCAGTTTGTTGGGTGTTAAAATCTGACAAAAAGAACAGCTTATAGGTAAGACATGAACAATAGAGTATCGAAGGGAAAGTTGGGAACGAGATAATAAAACCGTCAACACACTTTCCCGCAAGAGTTTCGAAAAAATAAGATTGGTTAACCGTCGACTAAGAATAAACCTGAGAAACTGAAAAAGCTAACCGGAAGCGGTCCCCTGTGGGAAAACATCTGTAATGTGACCAGGATATACAATTCCCATCAGCACTAAGACGCACCATACTACGCTTGATCCCCTATCATGGAACCAACGCTTTGGAAAAGTCCATTTCTGGATACGCTTTTGATGTGTAATGCAACGCCGAGGTTCCGCTCAAAAGACAATATTCGGGTTAGGCCCCTTGAGGTGATTTTTTTCAAGAGAGGGGATTAGACAATAATTCCTTCATCTGTAAAACGTGGCGAGTTCGGTAACGTGTGAACACAGTGCAGTGATCACAGTCATTGCGATCCCTTGATCACTTAAATCGTGCTAGTAACTTTCTGGCAAGAGGAGTGTTTCAGTGACTGTCCGATAGTTACTAGAAGTAACCCCCATAGAACACAGCGCTATAATCAGTGCCTAACACTACAACCATGTTGAATAAGTTGTCGTTTTTCGCATCCCATGCATGAAACTAATAATGACAACAACCAGACTAGAGCACTTCCTCCCCAGAGGAAAACGCCCAAGCGAAAACACTCTTATCGAAAGAGTTTTGAAGACAGAGGCACGCGAGAGCATCGAACAGCTGGGACTTCACTTTAGGCAAAGTGGAAAATAGCATCCAACCCTTATAGGGACTGCTCAGATGCCCCTGGATATAAATGACCTTTCTAAAAAGGAAGAAAAATGGAGCATGTGGTTTGAGTTGATGATGGGTATAAAGAGAAGATTAATGAGCAACTAATTACACCCAGTTTTCCTATAATGAGAATAAACCATCTAAGTAACCTACACACAAATGAGTCAGGGAGCTAGGTTTTTGTACTACAGGGAGCCGATCAGACTACAGGTAGCACAAGGAACATGGCAGTTAATCTGAATGAAGTGGCACTGTGATGAGGGGCAGAATTTCAACAGAATGGAAATAGGCATATGTCGAACACAACACACCTCGCCATGATACCGGCTGCGCAAAATCAGGTTGAACATGAAATTGGATGAATCCAGTTTGGCACAGCTTGGACGTTTGTCTAACGTTGTTGGCTGCAATCAAATAAAAGGATAAAGTGGACACGAATAGTAAGTGCTGCCTAAGGACGTGATGGAGTACTTATAGATCGTATGAGCAGATTGGTATGAAATGAAGACGAGTTCCTAGCTCGACAATCGTGCCTACCGCTAGTGGGTGAACCGAGCGATCTCGGCCGATGCAATAGTGCCGCGTTTAATCATGACTTGAGTGAAAAAGCAACAGGACGTCTATTGCAGAGTACAATAACACAGTAACTGACCTCGGGTTAATGGTGTGCGTGAGTTGCTCGCTGATGTCAGCGCACACCAAGCCGAGTGATGTGCCACAGATTCCGTGCAGACAGTTACGTGTGTCACGGTGAGCTCGAACGGGACGAAAAGCGAGGCAGAAGGGGGACACGCAGTTAAAAGTCCCAAGCATCGTAACATCCACATTCCGAATTAGTAAATTAGTTCATCGGTTGGCGAACTTGGTGCAGTTCATTATTTCGCTTCAGCTGACCAAAGGTCTAGGGTGACCCATTCATTCATAGTTACCCAAACCTATCAGCGACATGAATTACTACTGACCTTTACTCGACTAATTGTTAATTCTAATGAAAATAACCGGGAATCCTGAGTTCAAACAAAATTCAACCCCTATTTGTGTAATTCAGTATTCCCAAGCGGAAAACAGTAAGTGTTGCAGTCAACCGGTGGTTACACTGCTGCACGCGCACACACATTCCGAATAATGTGGACCAAGTCACAGAGATAGCCAGACTAAAATACAAATGTGTGCGCGCATCACCAGCATCAGACCATTCTAATTTGAAGGTCAACACGATCAGTAAATTATGCGTGGCATGCAGAATGAAGAACGGTGTAGCCAATAAAAACAACCGCCAGTTTCGACTGTCCGAAGCGTGGAAACTTGGAAAACGCCTCAATGCGTCGCCAAAGGATGCTCGATGTCGTTCAAAAAAAACGAACACTGTGTGGACAGACTGAAAATTACACATCAATGTTGAAAACTTTTCCCGCCTACACCTACACACATCAATGTTGCATGCATGTTCGGTCTAGTTCAGTTCATCCACCATAAACCGTGTAACAAGAGTACATTGTTCCTTCTGCTACAGTTTCGGTTACCGAAAAATGGGAAACAGTGGGAGACATAGTCAAACGGTCAGGACGATTGTATGATCAGTTGGTTCGTTACACGTGTACAAAACCGGAAAATCCCAAGTAAAGTGGAAACGATGCGATACATCTGCTTCCAGATTACTCTGCAAAGAAGTGTTAAACGAACTTGCGTTGTGAATCTCCCAGTGGAACCGGTTGAAACAGGAGACAGCAGTGTCAGTAAGTAGACACTTCAGCTCACTGTTAACATGAATATTTACAAATAGACTCACGACGATGTTACAGTCACGAGCTGCGAATAACTTTAAGCACGTTCCCCCTGCCGATCCTTACAAATAACGTCCTGGCCGCGCTTTAGCTAGTAGGATTGCAAACGTAGGGGAGTCTGCTATAGATGTGAATATTAGTAGCGTAGATGGTCGTTGGTTTGTTCGCTGAATTGGGAAATTCAACTGCGCACCACATATGGCACAACCACCGACCCCTTGCTACGCTTCCTAACAATACACTGATGACTTCATCTCGATTGGTGATGCAACGCTTGCAGTCAAGTTGCCTAGTAGGAAAGTCCCCACAGTTGTAACTAATCAAGGCCTTGTGGGAATTTAACGTTGTCCAGTCAAAATAAACGCATGTCTACTTGGTAAATGAACAACTAAGCTCCATTTCATCCTACTTCGTTTTATCCCGTTCATACCTCGTGACTCCGACTATTCACCGATTCTAATTCAATATCAGTCCATTCTTGAGAATTATCCTAATATACCGTGGTATCTTTATGTTTTTTTAACAAAAATTTGACGCTGGAACAAAGTAATCCGTAAGGAAAAAACAACATAATAATTACGATGTGCAAACAGTGGTTAAATACGAGGTGGAGTGGGTATTTAATCAATTTCAAATTATCAACTATAAACCGTGTGCCACAGGCATATTGGTTCCAGTTACTACAGTTCCAATCACCGGATAATGGGAAAGCGGAACATTTAACCAAGCCTTGGAGGCGAAGGCATGTTTAGTTTGTTCAGAAATTGGGTAGCTACGCATTGAAGGTAATAGCTTTGATGCACGAGCACCACTGACTGCGCGATTGGGCCATTTCCATCGATGTCATTAACCACTGGTGTTTGAGTCTCGGGGTCCCCATTCAGGGAGGCGCCGATTGCTCACTCGACTAAGTTTACTGGTTAGCGTTTTCGTACTTCATTGCCAGGTCATACACTGTCCACCTATCGGTCGCTTCCACTCAGCAAAGGGCTCGGAAAAACGAGCTCTGTGAGGCAGACGGTCTTCCGGCATGCAAAGTACCTGACCCAACCAGCTCAACCTATGAAGCGTGAGTAATTCATCTATCGCAGGAGAGTTCCTTCTTCCTAGGACCATCTAGCGTACCTCAGCATCACTAATCCGATGTTCTCACCAGACCTGACCAATGCTTCGGAGACACCGATGGTCAAACACTGACATGTTCCGTATGTCCTCTGAGCGTAGGGGCCACGTCTCTGATCCATAAAGCAATATGGATCGCACCACCGCAGTGTAAACTCTTCCATTGACAGACAAGCTCGCATCACGTCGGCGCCATAGGTGTCGGGGGTTGGCAAAAGCTGCACTGGCCTTTCCGATTCGAGAAATAATCTCATCTCCAGTCAGTCCACCGGAACTTATACATCTGCCCTGGTAAACAAATTTATCCACCACGTCGATTGGCTCACCTGCAAGCATGAGGTGTGGGCCTGATCCAACCTGGTCTTGTAGCAGCACTTTGCAGGTGTGAAGCACATGCCAAACCGTGCGGCAAACTTATTGAGGTTATTTAAAATCGTTTGCATTTGGAAAGGATCTAAGCCAAAAAGAGCTACATCGCCTGCATACTCAATGTCTGTGAAGGAACGTCTCGGGAGTATTTCAACCCCCGAGGTTTCAGAGGCAGGCAGAGAAATTTCAAGCAGCATATCAACAACAAATTTTGAGAGGAAATAGGACATAGAAGGGATGAATACTGCATATAGGTATGGCACAATGAAGATTAAAATCACATAAGGGAAAAGCAAGACATAGTGTTTATTGTTTGTGATGCGGGGATGTGGATGCGCCTTCTGAAAACCTGAAAATGTCTTGCATTGTTGTACGGCGATCGATTATACTGCCAGGATGCAGTAGTGCATCGCCAATTCACATTATCGCCAGGTAAATTCACTGGCAAGTACCGACTTTGGTGAGTGTTACAGTACATAAAAATAGACGATACTTCTGCGGAGTATGCGCAAAATCACGGCGCCACATGTCTATAAATGTTTCGTTCACATGTTTACTTCCGCCTAACATGTATTACAAGTGTTCGAGGATAGGTTAATACGTAAACCATTGAAAAAAATCACGTTCAGCGTGGCGTTCATGCATCTCAGATTCACATCATTTACGGAATGTAAGTCTTACGAACGATGAAGTTTTACTGTGAGAGGGCAACTGCTCTCACACAAACTTCATCCCACTGACCGTCCTAACAGAAATGAAAATAAAACAGAGTACAGAAAAGATAGAAGAGACCGTTTGTCGGCAATTGGTGTTTTATATAGACGGTCATCACTTAAAGGCTTCTGTTTCTCACGCTCACCTTCTACAATTTCGATGGTGTATTGATGGGGCTGCAGATAAACAACTGAATGATGAATGAACAATGAGGTTACAAACGACAGGACTACTTTCCTAAGATGCATTAGCATGATACTATGGCCTCATCGCCTGGACAACTCAGTGTTTACGTTAAACTTATGCACAGTATTGCATAGGATGGATAAGGATGTATTGTTTGTGAATTGGGATTACTGTTTACCCGTTCATCCAGGAGGACATCTACCGGTGAAACGAACAACAAGCGAGTACTGAGTAAATGTGGCATGTGTGATCAACCAACCAACTCGGACGCTCAGCCAATCAAAATGTTTGAGGAGGTTGTACGCAATCGTTTAGGCACTCAGAGCATATCGGCAGTGGACTGATTTCCTTTTTTTAAATGACAATCTGATGACTATTGCACAAGAACCGGCTTGGATGTCGAGGAAAACTGAACTCCCGTAACTAAAGCGAATCCTATGGAATATATATAGCCTTTCTTTCGGCCCTGGGTCGATTGTGCATGCTGTCTCCTAAGCTTCCGGGATCAATTAAGCAATGTTCATTAGGATGAGCGTTCTGGGAAATGTGACCTACCTTGTATTACACAACGCAATATGAGCTGTGACACTATAGAGGACCTATTCCGATTTGCCAGTCTAACAGTGAAGGAGGTAAACGTATTTTAGCCAGTCTGATTGAAGGAATCACGATTCATTTCTACACAGGAAAGCTAAAGGGCCATTTCTTTCCATATTCTGTTAGGACAATGTTCGAGGACTGCTAGTATTGGATAACGAGATCATTGTTGTTCTCGCAGCATATTTGATTCTCACACCGCTCTGCACACCAATAAAAACAATGAAAAGATCTGCATACAACTAGCTGGACCCTCAAAACCAGCTTTCGAAGACGTATTAAGAGGTAACAAGTGGCAAAAATACCATTCTGGCGACTACTTTCAAATAGCTTAATAAGCCCACACTTGGTTCGGATTATCTCTAATGAGACTTTGCATCCCCTCAGTATGCAACATAACGATTTAAGATTCCTTAGTTGAAAATCAAAACTTGTCATCAATTCGATGGACAAACGTGTAGCATGTGTGGAAAAGTAGTCATCATCATCATCATCGACAGCATGACATCAGTGTTCAACACCGATGCTTCACTGCCGTACTGGAAAAGTAGGATACTCTGAGCTGATCGAAAATGGAGACTGTGTGGAGAAACGAGGCCCACTAGCCATTTTGTAATCAAGGGCGAACGACTAGCAATGCGGTTAAAATCACCCACACAGGGAACTTAGCTGTGTGGAAAGTAGGATATCGAACAGTAGCCCTCCTAAAAATATATGTGAGGGAATTAAATGGGGAGAAATTGTGCAGTTAGTAATAACATAAGGAATCTGGTTAACGATTAGAGAAAACTGGATTAGCACCCCGTTTTCTCCAGAGCTGATAAAGAATTGGGGCGATGCGGAAACCCCAGAGCCAAGCATTTAAAGCTTGATGATGTAGAGACTTATGCGAAAGCTAAAGAAACGAAGACTCATGTCAGTAGTTAGAGAAACATCTATCCCGACTGAATAACGAACCCCAAACTAGAACCCAAAACGATGGTGAACAGTCTCTAAAAATGTACGCGAAGCGTATATGAAATTTTGTTGTAAAATTTGTGTGCATCTAAGACGTACACTGAGAAACGAGGCAGTGCGATTAAACCCAGCGTAATTTAACACCGACTCCGTTGCCAACGCTAGACCAGTGTGTTGAAATAGGCCAAATGGAGAATGTTGTAGTTGGAGCATGTAGTTGGCCAAGTGGGAGCGAACCAGACTGGGAGCCCACTGCAGTCCGACTTCGATAATACCCTTGCAACGCTTGACGAAATCGCCCAACATGTCCTCTCGATCTTGCAGTGTGTCTGCAGTGACCAGCACCAAGTCGGTTCCAGGAACAGTGTAAACCGGGGCCACTTCATTGGGATCCTAGAAAGCGAAAGCATAGAATGGAACAGTGAGCCAAATCTTTTCAACGAATCAAGATGAAACTATACGCGTGATTATATAGATGACGGATGATACGGAGTTCTACTTGGCGTCAACAGGCTGCGAAAATGACTCCTAATTTACTTACGAATAAAAATTTGTCCTTGATAATTCACACGCCCCGTGTATAACAGATTTACGTTGAGGCGACGTTAAACAGGAGGGTGGGTGCACGACTGCGATATCAAATATCACTGAATTGTAAACACACGTAGCAATGTGTATGTCACTGAGTGAATTTTTCGCGAGCTGATTGAAATAATGGTTGTCTAACTACCAGTGCACCATGAAAATTCGCTCGTGCAGTTGTCAAAAGTAGTCACAGTCAAAGCTTTCAAAAGGGTTGGCAACGAGTTATTGATCGGTGACCTTAGAGGTAGACATATCAGTACTGTGTAACATAAGAACACATATAGGTGGTTACCTTTCAACTTTCTGTATGTATATCAGACATCTCACTTCATTACACTAAAAAGCCCCCCCAAAGTGTCAGTCATTCTAGTATGCTCCTATGTGAAGTAAGGATGCATTAGAGGGTGTGCAAGAGTTGCGTACAGCAACCTTCACTTTTAATAGACTCCTGATGGGACGCTCTAAAAGGTATATTCAGGCGTTTCACACCTTGAAGCCTTCAAATATTTTCAACGCCAGGAAAAAATGAAATCAAATATTAATGTTGCAAGCAAATAAATCCTTTGGCTGGGGAGCGTTCTAGGGCTGTAATGCGTCAATAGTGGGGGCAGTGCTCCTCCGTGGAACGTGTTAACGTCGTCCTTTTGAGCTGCGAACGATGGATCTCTGAAATAGAGACATGCGGTGGGCTGATTCCGTTTCCGAATTTGCTTGCCACGTCAAACTGCGCAGATAGACACCCATGCACAATAGATAACCAGTCTTACTTGTAAGTTGAGCTGTGCAGCACATGCAGCTAGATGAAAGCCATATACTCTAAGAAATGGGAACGGATGGTGAACAAAAGAGTGCAGTTGTGAAGTCGTCTGCATAGACCAAAGCTGGTTCACAAATCTCGAACCATGTGTGGAGAACCGAACACTTGACACCCAGGGAAAGGTGACCTGGTGACGCCAGCGAGCCAGTAATTGGTTTGGTCTGTATGACTATGGTTGTATGACTATCTATGACTACCAAAAGTCAGTCACAGCACATTTTAAGGCTTCGAGTTCCTGAATGACAAGAATGATGAGACGTTGTTTTGGAATAGCCTAGAAACTTAGACGGACCCCAAGGTGTCCGTCTGGCATAGACTGGGAAACTTCCGATCTTAAGCTTTCATCTTGTCCAGGTGGTGGAGCTTTTGTGCTGCAATGATCTTGCTGGCTACACTAGCTGGAACTCAGTTTCTTAAGGCTAAACCAAGAAAGCGGACAAAGAGCAGCCCGATGAACAACGAGTCTGCATACTCGGGAAAATCGTATTACGAGGCGACCTGGAGGCAAAGTCGCACTGTACTCTGCGGTGCGAGTATGGAGGAAGTAAGGTGTTTCCTTCATGCGACCAGTATGTTCAAATTTATGGAAGCAGCAATGCTGCCCTCCTCTGACAGACAGGTTGGAGAAGGTTGGTCTAATAGAGCGCAAACTATGGTAACTCAACAGTTGACAGCGACTACCAGTGCGTTACCAAACACGGTTCAACTGCCAAGCTCGGCGACAGACCAACACCAAGAAAGCGGACAAAGAGCAGCCCGATGAACAACGAGTCTGCATACTCGGGAAAATCGTATTACGAGGCGACCTGGAGGCAAAGTCGCACTGTACTCTGCGGTGCGAGTATGGAGGAAGTAAGGTGTTTCCTTCATGCGACCAGTATGTTCAAATTTATGGAAGCAGCAATGCTGCCCTCCTCTGACAGACAGGTTGGAGAAGGTTGGTCTAATAGAGCGCAAACTATGGTAACTCAACAGTTGACAGCGACTACCAGTGCGTTACCAAACACGGTTCAACTGCCAAGCTCGGCGAACAGACCAACATCCAAGCAGCGCACCCGAGCTACCTACATTCCACACTCGAAATACGTTTAAACTTAAAGCATCAGGTGCTGCTAAAAAAATACCTGTAGTGTGCAGCAGCATTGGGAATCAGACAGATGGGCTTTACTCCCTACATCCTCGGGACGATCCATCCCCTCACTGCTAGGTGTGTCAGGCCACTGAGTTACTAGGTGCCGGAAGCGTTCCACAAGAAAACCCTAATAGTCGCTATCTCACGGTTCACTCATTTGAGTTCACGACTGGATTAAGGGTCCCTGAACAAAACCCTACGCTGTCCCTACCTACGCTTTCAAATCAAAGGCTCAAAGCAGGGTACCTCAACCCGACCACCTTCCTCGGCCTAGGTAGCTACCTTTACAGGACTTCGTCTACTGGCTCTCATCCACAGCCACCTCCCCCCTTGGATTGAATAATGCGCTGCAATAAGGTCATCTGCCGGTCTTCTAACCATTACCCCGCTTGTAAACTATCACTCTGCAGAATAAACAAAAACAATGCCTTACTAAACTAGGAAGATCTGGTCCACGTCGCAGCTTCTGAGGTCTGTAAGCTTCCACAAGCCAGTCATGGACTCGGTTGGATTAAGTGGCTATCAGTTACCGATAGAGAGTTCCAATTAAGGACTGCCATTTCCTCTGAAACATGCAACTTGGCTTCGACCATACCACGGAACGGGCTGGATTAACAAATTACTCTCCTTCAGCATTACGAGTGCCGTTCATCAAATTCATTCTGTAGCTTAACAGACTACTGGGAAATCACGGTCATTATGGTGACGAATATTGCTTGGATACTGAATGGGAGTGCGGTAAGCAAGCTACGCTCTGTTTTTAGGACTATCTGTTCAAGCTATCACACTCAGCCAAATAAAGACTGCATATCATCGAGATCAGCTGATCTTGTTGCTACCGGAAAACCATATCAACGCCGGCTCATCAAGAGCCCGCGGAAACCAGAGCAGATGGGTTGTGAAGTCCGAAGAGGTAGATACTCGCTCCATGGAACAGCTGCGCCCTATTTTAGCTGATTCAATCAACCGGACAAAAGACAGGTGTCGGCTAAACAATAAACAAAAAGAGGAAACGGCATTTCACCCATAAAATCATCCTGAGCGATGAGCTGAATACTTTTAAGGATAGCTCAGTTTGCCCAATTATTCGCAACTACCTTGAGGAACCGAACGAGCCTAAATGGAACACCGGCACCAGCCCGCAGTTCACAACAGAAATTCAGTGGGAAACATCATTCTCCCAACGCGACAAAGCACCCGGCCCGAGTGGTGCGCATCTTGCACACTTCAAGCAAGGTGATGTAGCCCTGTTTGACAATATTACTACGGAAAACTTAAAACAGAAACAGAATACTAGCGGAATGCAGCGTAGCAAGCGTGATCCCCGTCTTTAAAATGAGCACAAGAACGTCATTGCGGCATCAGCTTGGTGTCCAACGCATCCAAGGTGCCATCTTCAAGTATTTTGCGCAGCTTAATCAATTATCAGGAGCAACGGGATCGTGAGAATCAAATTGGGTTGCGCCCGGTCCGAAGATGCATCAGCTAAACCCTTACCTTGAGCGAATTTCATGAACGACGCCAGTCTTTCAAGCGTACAACGTTGATCCTGATTTGGAAGCTACATATGACCCTGTCAACTACACCAAATAGCTGGCATGGTTTGTCAATCACAGGGATCCAATCTAAAATTATATGTCTTATGAGGACTGAATTGACGAGGACACCGTATGCGAACTCCTGTGCGTATACAGGAAACTTTCGCCTGAGTTCAACATATCAAGCTGTGTGAGACAAGAGCGACGTTTTTCAAAATTCCCTTTCAACTTTGTTGTCAACTTGCTACTTGAAGATCCCGGACCTGCCTCTGAAAGCTCGGGGATCGAAATGCCCCCAGGACATTCGCCCAAATACATTCAGTATGCAGACGATATTGATTCAGATCCTTCAAAGGCAAGTCATTTTAAATGACCCAAGCTCACTCTTGTAGATGACACAATCGACGTGGTAGGTAAGTCTGTTTACCTGAGTAGTTGTACATGTTACGGTGGACTGGCTGAAGACGGGATTACTTCTCAAAATCAGGAAAGCCAGGGTAGCTTCTGGCAACCTACGACACCTACGGCACCCGTGTGACATCCGTTTGTCTGTCAAAGGCAGAGTGTATACACCGCATATGTGTGATTCGTACTGCCTCATGGATCAGAAACGTGGCCTCTAAGCGCAGAACACGTACGAGCTCTTTGACAATCACTGGTCGGGTCTGGTGGGAACATCGGACTACCGGTGCTGAGTGACCTTAGATGATTTTAGGAAAAAGAATCCCCCAATGATAAATGAGCTACACATTCACATTGGGCCTTCACTCACCCCCCCCCCACACACACACACACATACACACCGTGCTGGACACAACCACAGCACTACCCGCACCGACAAGCTCAAGTCATCTTATTGGTGACCTGAACTAGTTGTTCTTTGATAAGTAGCCAATGCCGTCTCATTCGATTTCTTGAACACCATGCTCATTCATGTTCTCTTAGCCTTTGCAACTGCATGACCTTGCCGAAAACATATTCGTCAACTCACCTTTGTCGTAATTCTAAATGGGAATTTCCGGAATAAGACACGTACATCATAGATTCTGCTGGTTAGGACATGTACCTCGTATACCAGAATGCACACACTGTACTGCCTTAACATCATAGACTATCGCACCGAGATATTCTGCGGAGGTCAACTCTTCAGATGAAGAAGTGTCACTTATGAATTCTTGTCCCGTGGTGTCGGTGAGTGACACACTTACACAACCAGGACGTGCATAATCAAACGGACAGTCCCTCACTTTAGGCCAGTTGCAGACCTGTACGTGTAAAGTCCGTCCCACTCCGCAGAAAAAAAAAGAAAATTAAAAGGTCAGAAAAAACGTACCACTTCCAGCGATTGAGATAACAACTGAGTCACATCAAGCATAGTGAACAGGACACGTCCGCTCCACATAACGTGAGGGAAGCTGTGTAAATATAGATAGATAAACGTTTTATCTCGAAAAATAGGACGAATTATAGCATGCCACTGAGTCTCAGAGTTAATTTAGGACATCGAATGGTTCATACACCAAGAGAGCAAATTTTAACAAAAACAATCAAGCATCTGCTGCCTAAGTGAGGAAATAGAGTGTACTAGCAAACACCTTAAACCTGCTAATCGCATATCAAAATAGAAGCTTTCAGGTACTTCGAAAGCGAAATACAAACAATGAAACTCGACGCAACGCAACCCGAAGAGAGAAGCACCCCGAAAGAACAAGGGCTTAAAAGGATTACTAAAGCTCACGAAATTCGACTGTTTACTGTTTTGTACATAACGAACAAACAAACAAGGTGCAAAAAGGGACATTGTGTAGTCACCCGGTACGCGCAAAAGTGCAAACACCGAAGGTACGACTATTCGTACTAGCTGGAAACTAAAAAGCATTTGCAGCGGATGAGCAAGATTCAAAGAGATAGATGAGTAGGGAGCAGCGGCACCACAGTGGAGAATATCTGCAGTCAGCTGGTGAATTTGTTAATCACATAACACGTCAAAGCGTTCCACTTAACAGTTAATCCTCCCCCTAAATTCTTATATTTCTCGGAAATGAGGATATTGGAGCTTTGTGTAGCAGTATAGGAAGACTGGGAGAACTTCACAGAAGGACCACTACGTGTCGGGTAAAAAATTCCACGCTAGTCGGCAGTCAGTGCATTTTCATCTATTTTCTTATATGAGATTACAAGGAAGAGAATTCGATGTCTTGAATATCATGCCAATTGAATTTCCAGCCAGCCTTTGAAGCGCAAGGTTGAACAGAGGCCGATTTCCGTTTTATCTTTGCACTACCATAATAGGCGAATGAGCGATTTGCTCAACACAGTCACATGTTCTGTGGCTGGCACTTAGTTTACAGTATTAGTGGGCTCGCAAAATGTCTCGGATAAACACGGCACGGGTGAGACTATCGGTTGCCGGATGTGCACATACGGTACTCCAATGTACTAAATTGTAGCCCGCCGAACTCGGGTGATAATGAACAAACGGAGAGCATGGAAACAGTAAATTCAAACAAGTAAGCAATACCACCTGAAACTCCACCCGAAGGCACTCCAGAGATAGAACAATAAACACCATAGTTAACAGAGCATGGGTACTACTCAACAGGTATCATCTAAAGTCATTCAAATGCGGGTGCGTGCTGCAGCATCGAGTTATACTCAACAAAACCGAAGTGACATGTGTGGACGGGTTGTGTAATGGATCGGAAGCTGCAGTCATCAGAAAAAAACAATCTGGAATGACTACCAATAAGTCCGTGGGTGAGTGATAACAATATGAAGTGTGGTCACCCCGATTATGATGGGTAAATAGTTCCCTCTAAACACTGTCCGAGATAGCTGGGTACTGTTGAACCGATGCTCTCACCATATCCGGCTAATGCTTCGGAAATACAGATGGCACATACTGGCTACGATGTTGATCGTACAGTGCTTCGAAAAATAAATTGACAAAGCCACGGCGCCGTAGATGCCCAAGGTGCGGAAGAGTAAATCAAGTAACTTAAAATTCTTAGCACTTCCGAGAGATCTAGGATGAAAAAATGTCCGTAGGCAAAATCCCCGAGGAGTAGATTAGGCTTCGAATTGTTGGGGGCATACAAAAATCCGAGTAGCACATCAGCAGTAAAGAAGAAAAACAAGAGTGACAGAGGACAGTTATATTACAGTGTCTGATCATCTTAGATGAAAACCTTCTGCATACATATACGCTTTCCCGGGCGTTGCTTAGTAAAGGTTTTCGATAAGACTAGAATTTATGTGGGACACCCTCAATTGATAGCTAGTGTCCCGACTGTTAACAATATGCAGAATCCAAGGTGGGAAGAGAACCAATCCATCGTTGGTAGCTACAGAAGAGTATAGGAGCCTGCAGTAAACAAATGTGGTCAATGCATCTTCGTCCAGGGCGTACCTCAGCTTAACTCCCATAGATATAGCTGTGTAAAACAATGTCATAGAGCGTTTCAGAGACAAGCACTACCAGGCTGATGCCAATGTGGTTCCCACAAACTCCTTGAAGAGCAAGGTCACAATAGAGGCGCTCCGCTCCCTCTATCCTATTTAAATCCAAAACTGACTTAGGTTTGCAAGTTCACACAACTGCTTCGCTACTTTCCGAGAAGAGCGGAGAGTGTAGGCCGTCCGCATCTGATACCTTGTCAGTTTAAGGTAAGCCACTTCGCGTGAAATTTGTGTTTGGTAGGAAATTTATGTCCACACTCCAGACCAGTTCGATCCGTCATCAAAGTTTACTTTGAAGTAGGCCAGATGACTGCGCTTCTAAGTGGTCGGTCACCACTGTGAATGAACGTCCGATCCATTGTTTTCGCGGATAGTATCGCTTTCACCAGAACTTTCGGTCCATTTGATTTAATCGGTTGACAGGATGTGCGAAGAGTGGTACGTGCTATATTTCGTTCTGAACGTCTCAATAAACTAAAACGGTTTCTTCACTGACAGCATGACCCACCTAAATCCATCATCCAACAGCGTCCGGGATAAAGCAAGTCGGAATAAGACATACAGCTTAGTAATAGGCAGCAAAACTTCTTACCAAGTAGTTTAATACCGACGGACCCCAAGTTAAGTTTTAAGTCATAGAGTCAAAACAATGCTCTGTTACGGCCATACAAAAGTTATTTGTTTCTGTTCCATACTGGGAGAACATGACTAGATAACTAGCTATATTCATCATTCGAACAATGGTTTTTTCCGAAGTCATCATTTATCATAAGTGTTAACGCCCGAGATTTGAACAAGCGTTTTGTCGGAAGTCCTCATTCATCAACATAACTTGGTCAGAAAACAAGGAAATGACAATGCCCAGTCCAAGGAAGCCTGACTGAACCTTTGAGAAATTAGCAACTGATCAGATGGAAAAGGTTCACTGCCCCGAACAAGTAACACCGGTGATAAACTATTGGAAGTGCTACGGAGCAAGACAACAAAACTACTGTAGCATTATTCACAGGTTTACAGTACAAAGGCGACTTAGAAAGCTCGCAATGACGAAGACCCACAGCTCAAGTCCATGCTGGGAGTACCAGTGGTTTCTACACACTCAGTTCATCAAGTCCTCAATTTGCGACGCTATTCTGCTGCCCAGATGCTATGCAACAATGTAAGACAGCTAACATGCTGTTGGAACTCCCAGACCCAAAAATCATAAGTGATTTCGGTCATAAGCTCGCATGCGACATCGTGATCTACATTCAAATTTCGGCAGTCCCTAAACGTTGCTAACCATGCAAGCGTAAATGAGGAGAAATAAGAATAGCTGTATATGAAATGTGGCAGGGAAAAGTGTCGCTCTCCCATAGCTGACGCACGTGGTCCAGAATATGAAGTCACAGGGAATTTTGTGAGGATATAAGTACACAAGGCGGTTCACTATCACACTGATATAACCCTCAAACGGGGTTCTTCTGAAAGCAAGATCTGGTAATTTAATTGCTGCTGTTTACGAGGCGGGTTTCTTGTTGGCAGCTGCGAAATTCTGCAGCAAACCCACATCGATATTATTCTCCAATTCCATACATCGAAATGCCAGAGGCTCCAAGATATAAGCCTATTCAACGACGTTGGTTTCCAGAAAAAGCTAAGGTTGGTCAGTGGACCAAGAATCTAGTTAGTTCGTTTATGATGAAGGGTCAAGCCATGTATAGTGCAAGGCACAGAGTATAACAAAATACATGTTGAACCGGGCATCGTATCCCAACAACTGTCAACAACTGTTGGCTTCATAAAAGTGGGTCAGAGATACAAATGAAAAAATTTGGGTGTTGTTCGAAAGACAGAAAGACACTATACAACTCCACAAAGAGCACGTAAGACTTCTGCGTAACGAAGAGGCAGACAGACGTTGCATAAACTAGCCTACACCTCCAAACGCCTTAGTATCATCGGAAGGGTAAGGAGAGATGGACGAGCTTCTACTGTGAAATCTCCGGTTGAAAAGTCTGATCCGCTGCCTTCTCGTAGCGGGTACTATCGGTGGAGTGGCCGAAATGGGTACACGTGCTATAACCTGGTTGGTGGCACGTTGGTAGTCCATCCAGAGAGGTCACTAAACCTTGATTCCAAATCGGTAACACCGGGAACTCCTTCACAAGAGGCGAATACTGTTCAACCATGCTCTCCAAGTTCCATGCTGATTTGCAGGCCCACCAGATTGTGCATATGCTAGACACGCACACTTAAACAAATGCCAAATGGCGCGAAGAATATCGCCTGTGTAAAACTTCCAACAACGTGTCTTATGACCGTCGTTCTTTCAATGCTATAAGGTCCATAGTAAACGGACTACCTCCGGTAGCACCGGCGCATGGAGTGCCCGAACCGCTAGCTAGGCTTGTAAACACATATAAGCAATGCTTTATCAGTTGCTAGAAAGTTAGAACTTAAATCGACTTTACCAGTCAACTGATCACTACGCAGATTCTGTAAGGCTGAGGCGTCGATACTGCAAATCCCCCGAGTCGGGCGTGTCCGCAGTGGAAATCAAAATAGAGCAATCTTCAAGCAACCTCTTTCTGTTGGCTTTACACGGGGCTAATCTGTCTCCAGCTGAGGTGTCAACAGAGTTTCCTTTTCAGGGGATGTCACTTTGTCAAGAATCGTTATCATCTGCTGCGATGCATTTCGCTTGGATTACAATATACTCTGTTGATTGAAACGTCAGAAAAACGAATAATACGAACAATCACGGGTGACTGTCAACCGCATTCCTTGACGTTCTTCGACGGCGACTAAAAGTTCCAATGGGCCTACAAAAAAATCACTCGACTTGCCCATTTCGCTTGCGGTTTGTTTTGGGGAGAATAGTGGTTGTTTGGACAACTTTGCAATCCTCAACATACTGTAAGTCCAAAAATGTCCAAAATTGCACCTATATTGTACTTCCATGATGTATGAACAGTCAATCGATCACTCTGAATATCCTATGCTGGGAAGTTTCGTTCATATCGGGGAACTAAAGCTGGTAATATGGGGATGTTAGATCACACATCGATTTGTGCGAAACTCACACTTGACCGGTAAAGCATCAGCAAATATTCCTTCTCCTTAAACGCTTGAAAGTCAAGATAGTAGAGGACACACAACTATGCACACTAGTGAACGTGATTCACAAGGCTACTTCACAATCACCAAGGTTAGCCCAGACAATCACCCCTCGCTTCCCAAATTCCGTCGATGAACGGTGACATGCTGAAAACATCCACTCAACAAGCAGCTTCAGTCCGCCTTGGCACCATACCTCATAGTCAAGACGACTGCGTTGCTGTACATGCATTGCATCTGTCAGCACTAAAAGAAACGTACTGAAAAATCGCTGCCTAGTAAGCGACTGGAAAAAACACTGGAACGTAATGGCAGAGATCATGAAGACGGCTGACAAATTCCACAAACTCGGCCGACTTATCAGCAAATCCACTGGTAATCACCTACACCCGAAGCTTAACTTGAGTGACGCAATCTAATCTCAGACCTTGGTCACAAAACCATCGGGTGGGTGAAGATTTTTTCCCAAATATTCCAGTGTCCTTTGAGGATATCCATCGATACCTGCCCGCATCAACTGCACCACCAGAAAATAGGGGGAATCACCCGCACGATCAACCACCTAGGAAACGAGAACTCTTGAGAGAATGCATGGCGGATGATATATACAAGGTGTGCAATGTACCACTCAAGCGCTCTATATGGGAGACAAAAGTATTCCCACTGAATGTGGTACTTCAACTCTCTTATCATTCCCACAGAAAAGAAGCAAACAGATCTGCAATAACCACGGAGGCACAAGCATTATTAAACCAACGGCCAGAATGTTCACAGTAGCCCTGTTCAGTCGAGCTTTCCAAAGAGAACCGTGTAAGTTGAATTTCTACTCCATGTTGGGGAAACGCTTCAAACATACTGCCGTATGTTTCATTGGCCTCCATGCCACAATCGACTTCGTTAACCTCAATCTCCCGTTAAATATAACGCAACTTTACGGAGCTCCATATAATTGTATTGGATCACTGAGCCCCACCGTAGATCGAGTTTGAGTATAAGCCGAGAATTCTCGCGAGTCCGACCTTTATAAGGACACCCATTATCCTCAGTCCTATCTGACTATGCCATCGACTGGAGATTGGATAGTGCTCATAGAGCCTACAGCAGTATTCAAATTACGAGGGATACTTAGGTATCTGGCCTGGGATACGTAGACAACGTCACTTGGCGAGGTGATAGCCCGGTGGGTCTCATATCGGCACCGCACAAGATCCTGCAATGCCTCGCCTAATTCAGTCTAGACTTAAACAAAAACTCCAAACCAGTATTCGAATCAGGAACTACCAACTTTAGAGTGATAAACATGTTAGGATAATTTAGTTATCGCGTTTTACTAAATGACCAGGTAAAGGGTGCCTCATTAGCGTAAGAAAGTAAACTCAAAACGCCACTGTGTTCTGTGCCATTTCAGCAAACAGAGCTGGATTTACGATACCTATATCTACTCAAGAATCATGAGTAAAAAAGATAGGTCAATCGGACCCGAAGGGAGACAGGTCGGTAACACTGTTACGGCATATAAAAGCCGGTGGTGTACATCCATCAATATCGACCGCAATCGGTTGCAAAGGGGAAGACAAACTTGTGAGGAATTCCCTCAATCTACAGCAGCGTCGAGCTTACTCATACCATCGAGGCAAGGCGCCAAAAAACATCAGGTCAATTGTGTTCATCGTCTTTTTGTGACCACAGAATTCTCTCAAACAATTCGACTGGAAAGGGCATCAGCCTGAACCAGTAAACAGCAGCATTGATGCCAAAGACCAAAATGTGATGCAAGAAGCAACGCATTGGCATAGGAAGATAAGCAATCAAGAAAAAGTGATTCGATCAGTTCATGTACGCTGGGTTGTTAACTCACTCTTTAGCCAGCATGCTCAGAAATTCATCGGCGACGATTCGCAAACCTTTCTGAACGTGCAGGAATTTGACCAATAGGAACTGCGCATGCATGTCCATGATCGTCTCACGTTCGCTCCCTAAAGGCTGTTGGTGACCAATAAAAAAATGCAACAAGGTTGACATAAAGGAAGAAAGGAAACAATAGAAAACACGGATAAAACAAAACACGTCAGGAAATGAGTGTATGATGGCAAGCCGATTAACAACTTACCATTGCTTTCATTCTGGCCAAGTATTTGTTGAAAACCTGAACTGCGACTTGTGTGATGCAGGTCCACATGCCTAAAGTAGGAACAAAGCCATTTTTAATGGAGAACTGGTCCGTAAACGTCTGACAAAAAGCAACAATGTGCCCTAGTCTTTATTAACAGTCTTTATTAACAGCACAGGTGCAGAATTCTACAGCAATTTTCCCTCAAGAAGGTCCTCTTCTAAAGATTGGAGAGTCAACGAAAACATTTCCCGTCAGCTGTGACCTCATGTACAATCCCTCGATTGAGAGGCCTCCTTAGGAAAGATCAGTTACTATTTCTTTTCAGTAGTCGACCCAGACAGATGTGTTCTATGGCAGAGCACAGATGACGTAGATCAACTGAATAACTAAGTGCAATCCGACAGGATTTAAACAAAATTCATTTGAATGTGGATACTACCAAGGATTGAACACGAGTCGAGTTATCCAATCACAGACAGGCCTATCAACCTGAACAGATGCTGCCACGAAATCAACTAAAACAGTTTTGTTTCGTGGATGTCTAATAGTTTTTCATCCCTGTTTCCCGTTTTGTTTTCAATAGCATATTGGATCTCCGGTACATTAGACTACACGGGTGAGTGTGGCAACATCAGGTGACCCTCGGAGCATAGACTAACGGCAACACGAATGAACTGAGTGATCACCGACCACGCGAGATTCACGTGAAACGTTATCACGGTGAGGATGATTGGTATCGTGGAGTGTGGATCCTCCATGCAAAAGTAATGTGAATCACGGAGAGTTTAGCACTACCTCGACTTACACGGCAATGCAATAATAGCTTGCCGGAAATCGAAGGTTCATTTTCGAAGAGACACCCGTCTCATACCTTAGCGCCAACACGATTTGAAGCAACAGAGCAATGGCGAACTATGTATTGTCGGACCATGTGACCCTCCTTTGAAATAAATCTGACGGTTCATACACCACATAGGTTGAGTAGATGAACGAAAAATGCCATAGTTTGCAATGATGTGAGATGCATCCCTTCGACAAACAAACAAATCGGGAAGAAATTGTCTATGGTGTTGTAAACGTGTCGTTTCTTTGCTCACATTACGTGGAAGGGAAAAGTTAAGCAAATAGACCTTAAGCTATTAATAAAGCAGTATCTGGTTGAAGTAATCGAAAATACGCAAAAAGGGAGTGAAACGAAGATTCGCAAAACTCTGAATGGACCGGCATTCACATGATACTGTCACTTTGAAACTACCAGTCTTCGAAACAAGTGAGAGGAGTGAGAGGAGCGAACCGATTCAGATTACAGTGATACTCGTCTTTCTGTCGATTCCATTAGTGGTAGGCTGTGCTAGGTTTCCGGAAACGGATCAAAAGAAAAGACTCTGTTCGTTCTGCAGAAATGTCAGATTACGGATGCAAATTAATCGGTGCGTATCAGTGGACCAACAATACTGTTACCGTCCTTCACATGTCCCATTGGGTGTTTATGTGTATTCAGTTGTGATGGACAAATCACCTAATTGGCTCTAGAGCGGCCGGAGTTGATCGAACTTTGTTCTCTTGAAGCCGCCTATTTTTTTACTGCAGCACCAACAAAAACATCCGCCTCACCGGTTGGATAACCGAGGCCAGAGTCCACCTTCAGTTTTACGTAATGGAAAGCTTTGGATTTTTGCCGACGACTACCTGTTCACATTCATATGGTTACTGACCGATGGCGCTGCTAGGTTGTGGAAGTTCCGAGCTGCTTCTTAACACCACAGATTGGACAGGCATAAATGTGAGTTGCAGCACCCAAACACTGAGATGATGTTTTCAGGAAACCAATCTCCGATCCTGATTCAGACGGACATTGTGTGTTCTTTCATCTCACCATAACTACAGAACAATCTCGAGGATGACTTTCACATTAGATAATTAACAAATCTACAATCACTTAACAAGCGTAGGGTTGAACTGAGCGCGAATCCACTGATCCGAGGATTCGTGATTCGGACCCAACCAATTCAATTTATCAGCTACCATAGACACATTGGTTCCAACTACTACAGTTTCATCACCGGAAAGTGGAAGAGTGTGGGACACACAACCAAACATTGAAGGCGATGGCATGTTCAGTTAGTTCGGAAACCGGGTAGCTACGCATTGAAGGCGATAGGTTTGATGCACAAACGATGCTGACTGGTCAAACACAGCAGTTATTTCTGATCACACATTCCAATAGATATTTACCGCTGAATTACACGATTCATGCTTCTCTACAACTCATAAAGAACATCGGACACGGGGTGGTTCACAAGCGGTGAGAGCCCTAACCCTCTTCTAGCTTTAGTTAAATTTGGCAAAAAAAGGGCAGAGACCGTGTCCAGAAGGTGATATTTCTGAGTTTAACTTTGCTTTGGCAATGCTGGATGAACAGCTTTAGTTAATTCCATGACACCAACGCTGCGTCCTCATGTGTGTTGGCCGTTCGAATCTTCCCTTTTGTGGTCTACCTTTTCAGTCCACCCATGAAAAAGACTCAAATCAATGTATACTGCAGACTGCCTCATTTTTTATAGGTAATCTTAGCACATCGCTTACACTGTCTTTTGCACTTCGCCGTTTTGTTTTTGGCTGCCACCTCGATAGCTTTTCTAAGCTTAATCCACGTGAATGGTGGGAGAGAGCCAGAGGCGGTCAAAGAATGACTTGGCAGCGGATTACAAAAGCCATTACCAGCAAACTCAGCTGCGCTCGTCATTGCCGTCTTTCTGGATGGTAACCCCGAGACGAGTCACCTAGAGTGCTGCATTTACGCACTAATTTATCAGCTCCCGCCTCCAATGCGCAGCTACCTACCCCATCTTCCCGAATCATCGGTGAACGAAACTGTGGCAGCTACAACCACTGCACGACAAGTACGCTGTTCTTACAGCTGACAATGATGATGTGAGGATAGCAAAATGAGATGAAAAACTACCTAGTCACTAGCAATCTTGTCAAGCAGCTGTCTGTTCATGTTTCCTACTCCCGGTCCACGGACAGTTTGAGGAAAACGGGGACGACAATCGTGGAAAATTGCGATAGACTTTTCCATGAAGTTGCTTCGTAGGAAGATCAAAAGGCATGGAATACAGATGCGTCTGGTTTAGTTGCAAATACTCACCAAACTTATCACGAATGATGATACTGTCCTCTAGGTACATGAAAATCCGATGGAGAGCCTCAGGATCATTGGAGTGAGTGACACTGCGGTAAACACAAGAAAATATTGAGTGCAACAAGGGCGATCAAAAAAGACCCTAAGTGAGTTAAGGATTCTATTCGGTTTGCCAACCCTGATCCTCTAGTTGTGTGGATGACGATTCGCTACATTTATCAATAATAACAGCAGGAAAAGGACATTGAAAAAAAAAATAACCGGAGCTAAACATAAACACACTTTCAAGCTTTGAATCCCACTGATTTTCAGTGGAAGATAAAATTACATTTACAATAATAACACAAGACGCCCAGTAGGTGACCATCTGCATAGATCTGGTTGCATAACTTTTTCAGTTAAAATTCCTAAAATAGTCACTCCCAATTGCGACGCCGAAGAGATGAATGCGGTGGCATGGGAGAAGTGGTCATACTACTGAGGCGCTATTAGAAAAATCGTTCAATCGTAACACCCTCTCGATGCCTAGCTGCCACCTAAAAGAAGCACGCGGGCGGGGACACTGCCAGGTTTCCCAAGCCTGGACAGGGGGAATCGAGAGGCAGAGGTCGGGTTCAAACCACGAACCTTCCACTCCGTAAGTTGGCACCTTGACCAATGAACTATCTTGCCTTTCAAGGAGCGATTGAACCTAGCTGGGGTGCTGTGCAGTCACTATGGCATGGAAACGGACTTCAATTCAGATTGGTTTATAACCTCTGTCAAAGGACTGTGCACGTGGGTACACACAGCAAGTCACACACGAATCGTACACATACGAAAAAATTGTTACCACTTAGAATATTTTAATCAAATTTAGGAGTACGGTGACTTCCTTCTGAAGGGAATTACTGAAGCAACAAAATAATTTATACTGTGGAAAGAGTAAAGCTTGTAAAGTCAGTCCGTGCACACTAGGGGTTGTTTGTTCGAACAGGCCGTTCCACACACCAGTGACATTGACTAACTGGCTAGATAAGTAATACTACTACATAGTATTTAGTGGATTTCACTCAGCATAGAGCACACAGTGGACAGCCGCATCTGACAGTTTTACCGGGTCACAAGGACTCAGTAGCGATCGCTAGTGAACTATACACAGGAATGAACTGTGCCACAGATAAGACCTCTGCACAGTTAAATTAAGACATCAAGCGGATGACAGCACTAAACATTTGCAGCTTTAACATGTTCCGCTTTGAGGGGCTCGGCGCACCCACGCAAGCCGCGTTAGCTAAGTAACTGTTGCTGAAAACCTATCAGCATACTGCTGGTAAAATATTAAGTGTGCGTATTACTTTGAAGTCATATGACGATAAAAAAAAGCGAAAAAATCCATGAGGCGTCTAAAGTTCACATGGAATCACCGGGTTAATTTGTAGATGACGACCAGCGACCGAAAAATTAGCTGTAACAATAAAAAGGACTAAGGCCATCGAAAACATCTTCGCGGCAACAAGCCCTACCATCAAACACATGCAATAGATCATGCTCAGTTCGTTCTGGCGGATGAAGTTTGTGTAACGCCGTCGAAAGAAAACCTCTCGGGACCGGAACTGATTGAATAATAGGTAAAAAGGCAAGCATTTAGCTTGATCCATGATCAAGAAGACTAAGAGGATTCCGCGCAAAATACTATTTTGCTCAATCCCACAGGTCCGTTTCAGACCCCCGATCAAGTGATAGAAGTCTCTTAAACACAGACTGGGGTAAATGTTGAACTGCCACACAAATGCTTCGACCCACTACTCTGATAACGCAAATAACTTCATGGCCAAACACAGGCTGCACATCCCAGACGAAATGGAACGAGCCTTATGACTACCAGAGGTGATTACAACTCGCTGAGTACTTCGTCAAAGTAAAAACGGGGAGAAATGGTTATTATTCGGGAATAAAAACACGAGATACCCGTGCTATAGGACCCATTCGAGAGGCACCCAAACGGATACCGAACTTGCAGAACTTGTGGTGCAGTACACTGGGAAATTTCAAAACAACCTACCACAATGATTCCAAACGGTAGACAGCCATTAGGTAGACACATTGCGTCACAGTCATACGATGAATCAACGAGGTCGCTTCAGCATTGTTACCCAGAAGTAGGCACAATTTGTTCCTCATTTCGGTGACGTCAGTCTGAAAAGGAATGGCGGTAGATGCCGCGTTTTTTCCATGTACTCAAGATGGATAATACGATTGGGACATTCAACACAACGACCAGGTAAAATAAGTCAAACATAGCGCAATCGTTCAAAGCGGAAATAAACTACCTACACCTAAACACACGAATGACGAACATCTGTAGAACGCCAGGGTATGACTCGAATACGTACCATGCAACTGTACAAAAATGGATGTCTAAAGCAATTACAAGTTGTTTCCAAGTTCTTAATGTAATAGTGCAATTACTCGACCTAATCGAAAACAATGGTAATGACAGATTAATAACTGTGAGGGATGTCAGTATCATTACTGTCATGTCCGTATTCTTCATGTTCACATCACTCTCTCGTTTGAACAGTCGTTCTCTGGTCCTGGTGAAATTATTCTAGTCAGTCTACACCAGAGGGAGAGGGAGGTAGTGGAGTCGAGTTCCTCTCTTATTAGAGCTCGTCAGCAGTGCATATCAAATGGCCGTGCTGGGACCTGAAATCCGGACATATGACGCGCGAGCCGAGCGTTTTACCACTACTCCAACAACACATTTTGGGCGCACCTGAAATCTTACGTCTGAACGGGCGGACTTGTTCACACTTGAGCGATGTGATTGGTGTGCCCAGATAATCAAACGACTGTCCTGGTTGTGACGGTCGATTGACCCACCTCTCAGGAAGCGCCACATATGCTTGAAACCCGCTGGACAATTTTGGATTTTTGTTGTGGAGAAGGAAGTGGTTGCAGGATATGTACTGTTCATATTCATTGTCAACTTAACTTTCCGAAACCGTAATCTCACTCTCTCGCGCTTTTTTCCGCCATCTGAGATATTTTTTCCACAAAACCGCGTTTCTTTCCCAATGGGTATTCACACTCCGCAAGGCCGAATGCATTGACCCTTCCTCAAGGTCATCCAAGATATATCAGTCCGGTGTTGCTCCCACCGTACGTCTTTGATCAAAGCGGCAAAAGCTTTCCACCGGAGATCTCTTCTTTTTCTTCTGGGCTAGGACTGGTCGGCATCGCATCACCGCTTGGGAGCTGAGCGCTCGTGCTCATATCGCATAAAGCAGTGATTGCGTACGTCTTTGATCAAAGCGGCAAAAGCTCTCCACCGGAGATCTCTTCTGTTTCTTCTGGGCTAGGATTGGTCAGCCTCGCATCACCGCCTGGGAGCTGAGCGCTTGTCCTCATATCGCATAAAGCAGTGATTATCCCGTTAAGGCGTAACAACCACGGTGGTGGTTCGGATGACGGTTGTTGTGATGAGTGTCGCAACAGCAATGTGGACGACGTACAAAAGTGTAATAGTGCATCGTTGAGAAGGCTTCGCCGGTAAGATTCGTAGCAGCGTTAATGACGGTGATTCGGCAGGTTACATCACCCGGGTAGCTCAATTTTGCCCTCCTTCCTATAGATTGTAATAAACTGGCAGTCGGCACGTCTTTCCAAAGGGTACCCAAGATACCCTCGCGAATAGTCACACTGGTGTTTGAACAGACACAATGTTTCCCGTGTGAAACTCGCACAGTTCCTCACACTCCAGGTTGGTCAATCGACAGGAGCTAGATCAACATGTTCCAAGCATTCCATGACGACTTTCTAGTCAAATTGCGGACTATTGTAGTGACCTTGTGCCAACCACCACCCAACTGCCCTGGTAGAGGGTCCTGGCCATTCTTCGAAGTCTTGATGTTTTCATAGTATCTAAGCTTGTACAAAAATTGAGGGAACAAACAAGATTATTTCACGCCACATCGAATGCTGCCATCGAGATGGTGGGTTTATTTGATACATAAACTAGGGTGGGTAAACGAGACTGCTTAAACCTTCCTTCCTACTTCACCCATTCGCTCTCCTCTACCTCAGCCGACTGCCAAGGATATCTTCGTCAGTACACCCAAAGGACTAGAAGCTCCGTTAATCTAGATTCGCCATTGGCCAAAACATGCATGTTACCTTAGACATCTCGAGATCAGTCTTCAACCCCTGATATCCGAGCTAGCTGGTTCCTCAAAAACTACTCGACGTACCTCACCTACGGATCCGACTTTTCACCAGATTCGGACAAACTCCGAAACGTCCTCAGCGTCTAGGTTTCTAAGCCCCATGAAAATATGAGATGCATCGCAGCATTGTAAACTCGACCCCCATAGACGATGCACGAACCGATATAGTCAACTTACCTCCACAGACACTATCACACCGCCATAATACCAAAAGAGTCAATGAAGCTCTAATGTCTACTTTTGGTAGCTGGAATCAATGCTGGTGAACCTAAATCTTTCGGAAAGTGAGTGTGTGGTGGTGCATACCCTAGAAGGGCAGATCAGAGCTTGGTTTACACTGGTAAATCTCTCTCGGTGCCAAGTCAACCTTGGAATGATGGTATCACACGGTCCCTTTGATGCGGAAAGTGAGTGTGTGGTGGTGCATACCCTTGAAGGGCAGATCAGAGCTTGGTTTTCACTGGTAAATCTCTCTCGGTGCCAAGCCAACCTTGGAATGATGGTATCACACGGCACCTTTGATGCCACAGTTACTAGGCGGATGCCACGATGGTTTTCACACAGCGCCCGTGTACGCTTTTGCACCAGTCGAAGGGGAATCCATACGGGTAACCAAGCGCCCTCCAGTTCTTCGAATAGGGCTGGGTGCATACCATTCGATCCTAATGCCTTCTCATGCTTCAGCAAGGCTAATTCGTATTTGATTCCTTCTTCTGACGGGTGGTTAATGTTTATGATGCTCCACTTGGCCATTCAGTCGTCTTAGGATACGACTGTTTCCGGTGTCGAAATCCTATTCCATCTCCTGCGCTTTCATTATCCACCAGAGTATTGGGTCCATCCTTAGACTCTTCACAATTTGGGCTTGTGGGATTTATCTCTACCCCGTACTCATCGTCTGTTGGTACGGAATTCCTAGAACCGGTCAGGACTAGTCATCTCGACGACATAAGATGATCATTTGATCATATCGGAGAATTCCAAAAAAATACTGTGTTGGTTCATTTCAGATAGTAGATAGCCTAGCTAACTGCCTGAAAACAATGGACCTACATGCTGCTGACGGCCGCAAGAGTAATCGGAATCGATTTCCGTCTTTCGGAAAGAGCGGAAGTCTTGATTGGTGGCCCTTCACCGGTGGTTAATAGCCTCCCGAGTCTACGATCTACCTGCATTTGGGAGACGCTGAATTACATGTTGTGAGGATTCACGTTGAAAATCCGTACTGGTCAGCGCGCGTTTTTATTTTTTATCTTCCCCAAACAGCAAGCGTGTCTTTAAATAAGTTTATACGGCTATAACTCTGCGAGGCATTGATGATTAGGTACATATGTTTCTAGGATGAATACATTACTATTGCTGTCCGGTCAGGACAGAATGAGGTAGAATCCCCGCTGGAATGACTGGATGAAGTGATAACAGTAAGGCAAAAGGGAAAATCTCGACTTGACCAACACTGGTTACGATGACACGTACAGTGCTCAACATCGTCGAAGCAAGAAACGTAAAAATGATACTGCCTACGTGTTAGCCAGGCGTGTGTTACTGACTCTAACAGCGAGCTTCGTGCTTTCAGTGGTAGCGTTAATCCATGCGAAGAAATTGGAATTGGAGACAGCAATGAATCAAGTAGATCGGATGATGATCCCACCAGCTAATATGATTGAGAACAGCACCCACGTACAAATAGGGACCCATGCAGAAGGCGTACATCCACTGACAGCAAGCAAAAGGAGACACGAGACAAGCGGGAATGGTTCGAGTACCAGCACTCATCCCAAAGGCCGATCAACTGCAATAGGTGCCACCTATTTAAAGACGAACAATACCAGGGAGCTCACGTGGGATACAGGACAGTTAGGGGGTAAGCTGGAATAGAGCCAGTTCAGCTCAAAGTCGCGAGTATCCGGAGCGAGCGTAGTTGGGACTGTTTGCTGGCGATAAGACTGTTGGGAAGAAATCCATGACCAAAGGATATCATGCAAAAACGCAGAAAAGTCTGGTAAAACGGAATCTGACTCTCCAAAAGCCCTTTCATAGAACTAGTTGGAGTACAAAAGGGCAATTAACGGAAAACAACTCGCTGGAAGTGACTATACGAGTTCCCTAGTGAAATTTAACACCACATGGTAAGTCGCTTGTGTTACCTGCTCCACTGTGTCGGTGGTCTCGGCAGCACAGTAACGTAACTAACCCAGCAATCACTCAAAAAAGTTCCACCCGCAACATGTGGAACATCAAGATGCCAAGGTCACGGTTAGGTACCTTCTAAGTCGAATCGAGTTTAGTACAGGCTTTGTTGCTGCATGAACTGTAAGGGGCAAAGAGAGGGAACAATGCACACGTAGTGAATATTCCGAGGTTCACATGTCCTTCTTCCAAAAACTAGAAAGATAATCTTGAGACAAACTGACACACCCATGTTGTGATCAAGAACAAAGGGGATCCACTTGATCTAACCCTGCAGAGCAAGCCGTACCAATTACACCCGAAATTCCCGTAGCTCTGTTCCCACTCGCCTGCCGAATGACGGACTATCGACTTCTGGGATTGCGCTATTTTGGATTAGGTAGCAAGTGACTAGAATCCCGCCTACACTTGTGTTGGGACCAGTCCCCAACTGGATGACGCAACGAAAAATGTAATAGAGAACAGTTCCAGAGCAAAATAGCAACGCTAACCGACACGGAATAACTCAGAGCTGATTTGCTGAAACCGTGTTTATACGTGTGGAACGAGTTATACAGTGAAATGAACAGCATATTGGAAAACAGCACAACGAAAAGCCACAAGATGTGGCTAAAGGTATACAGGCTACAAACAGCCTTAAAGCAATCGAACGTACTTGAGATAAGTTCTTCTGGCTCAGGGCGAAACTGTGTTGTAATTCCGTGCGCAGTGATTCACGGGACAACAGTACTGGTGATTTGGTCGCGATTTCGCAAATGCTCCGATAGTAAGTCTGCGGCCATACAGCTAAAAATTGGACAGGGGCAGAATAGCACCACATACGTCGGATGTTCGATATAAATAGACCTAGTGGTGGGCGGTTATGCTTCTCACAAAATAACATATATAGCGAGAACAGGAAAAAGTTGACATGCCCAACCTAGTTATGTCAACATCATATCAGAGCGTATCATGAGGGATGGCCAGGTTCATTTCTGTCCCGTCAAAAAATAAGATGTAGTATTAACAGAACAGGCGCACAAAAGAGGTGTGCACAGTGGGAACACTAAAAGCCTCTGTACACAGCACTATTCTTAGTAGGTAATTGACATTAGCTCAATAATGCGCGATGGAATCAAAAATTAAAATTATACAGCAATATTCGGAGTGCACGTTGAGGGCGCAAATACTTAGTGGTGAACAGACAGGTTCATTAGTATCATCATCACCGGTGAAAACGATCTCCGTGTGACAACACTGATGCATAACTATCGTACAGACAGGCTGATGAATGAAGCCAAAAAACCACCGCGGAGCAAAAAGTGAAGCAGCAATCCGGCTCTTTCCAGTCCGTTGGTTGATAAAATAAAGCCTGTTTTGCATTATACTGGAAACGTCCTCGGTGGATACCTCAAACTCAGCTTTCAGGTGCCTGGCGAAACGATCCTACACATAAGTTACGCTCAAAACAATTGTGCATCAGCCTAGAAAGACATCAGTTTATTCTACGCGCATTCTAAATCAATGGTGTTGTGCTGCCGAGACAGAGTGGCATGATGGCTATTTTCATCCTGTACGCTTCGTCGCGGATGCGGCATAGAAATCTAGATGGCACGAAGTGCTTAGGCGATTGAATAGTCATTCAAAAAACACATTGCTTTCTGTGAAACAAGGACATTATGGCATTATGCCAGTAATCTATCTGGTCCGATTGTCAGGTCTCGCTCACTGTTTTGTGAGCAAGTGATTCCAGTTCAAACAGGCACGCACCTGTAGAGTTAAGATATACGAAAGACCACGTATTCAACCAACTACCCAGGAGTACAGTCAGAATATTCCTGGAATTCAGCCATCGATTATAGATAACTTGAGGCGTATATACTGATAACCGGTAACTAAACACACAGAAGTGCACCCGGGTCAGGTGAAAATGACTGAACCAATGGCTCAACTGTACAGAAGCCAATGCGCCAGCTAGGTGACAACGGATGCGGTGAACATGGAGCGTTGAAATAACATACATACAGGACAGGGAAAAATACTGATCCCAGTACAAGCATGTCCCTTGTTTAGACAATAGTTATCCGTTGACTGGACATCCTGCGCTGGCAGGCCGTAACGCAACTGCTCTGGGATCATATGCAATGAGTAGCACGCAAACTATTAACCCAAGTGTCTCGCTCCTTCCATATTTGTAGCTTCCCAACCAGTAATCCAAAAGATAGATATACCTTCATGAAGGAAACTACTCACAAGGTTGCTGAAAACTCTTCGATATACCTTGATTAGTTTACAAGATGCAAGGGCTATTTATCTTTCAGCAAATTGTAAAGACGCTTGAAAGTAGCCGGGAAACCACCGTTTCAAACAAACATTAAAAAACCATCGACTAAAGAGCGCAGCCTATTTCTTCAATCTACTATGTTTGCGGTTCTCTCTGTCCTTATGATCATCGCGGAGAAATAAAACTCACAAAACAATGAGATACTAGGATGGCTCAGCATAACTACAGTCTTAGACCAAGCATCTGATGTCTTTCACAAGACCCATCCTCAGTGTTCGGCGGCATCTGAAGAGAAGACTGTTCGGTGTCAGTTGTCCAGAAGAAATGAAGAGTCATGAGAACTCCAAAAAGGTTGAAGACTGTGCGCTAAACTGGACGCGTCAAGTGAGTGACGCTCAATACATGTGACAACCTCCTGATGTCGATTTGGGCGTACCAGGAAACATATTTTTTTGGAAATTAGTGTAAAATAAGCACTAAATAAGCTCACCGGAATTAGGCTCCGTAAATCCCATGACGGTAACGTAGAGCCAAAAGTCACGAAAAAGTGTGTGTAACTTCTGGTTAGGAGTTCGGATGGGAGGTAGTCGTCGGAGTAACTAGAAAAGAGGTTGACAGTCATGAAAATAAATTAAGGGCAGTTTGGCCGACGAAGAAACTTCGTGCAAGCTTGATATTACCATCCAAACCATTGAAGAAACCGACTAAGAGTCAGGCTGGCAACTAAATGTGCCTAGGTGACAACACGCGTTTGACCATTCGGCTTGCCTAAATAACGTAATAACCAGAAATTTGAGGGAAGATACGAATGGTCGGTCGATAGTACCAACCATAGACATTAACGAACTTAACAATCTGAACTGCCCCTCCTAATTACCACTTCGTTCTTCACGACACAAGAAAGCTTTCGTTGAATAAAACAAGGCTGTAGAGTTGGAGGAAATCGATACCCCGATCTCGAGTTGCTACCCATGGGAACAAGGACGTTGATGAGATGAGTGCAGAATGTTTCCCCTTTGGTTCGTGGGTACATACACAGGGTAGGTCGATCGCATCGAAAAAAACGTCACTTAAGGCTGTTCCAATGAGTCGACGATAAAAATAGCCGTAATATCAAACGCAAATGGGAATTCTCATCAGCGATGCGATCCGCCAGGAAGCACATGTTACCGAAGCTTCACTATGGATGTGAAACCCATCGTTTCACAAAGGTATTGGCGCGCATCGATCTATCTAAGTGGTACCCAGAAAGCAACCAAGTGCTCAAAGTTCATGTTGGTGGCGCAGATGACGCATGGAATTTCTCGAAATCTTAGCGTTACACACTTAGATACGTTATTAAATCAGATTCAGAGTGATTTCTATTCTTTCCCTTCTGTAAAAACAGGAATACATACGCATATAACTGCTTCAGTAGGCCTAGACAGTTCCAAACACCTTCAAAGCATAACGGATGTTTAGATTTACGTATGAATTGTGTACAGTTGGGAGGTAAGTAATCAAAACTGAAGTCCCTCTTCACACAATCGGATAAAGTCATGTGTTGATGATTGGTACGGTTCTCGCGGAACCGCGACATGATGCTCTGAGTGGGCTAGATTATCCTTGTTCCATGTCTGCTCGTTTTCTTGGTTGTACCAGCAAGTCTAGAAAAACGAACATTGTTTCCATACCTCTTTCAGAATGGCGGAAACTGCGGAGCGGACAATGTATGAGAGAAATGTATGTGAGAAATTACGAAGAATATGGGGGTGCAGTTTGTCTTCCAGGATGGGGTTCCACGGACTCCTCCTGCTTTTGGCTGGAGGCGTTGCAAGAAATGGCGGCTCATCGATGTTAACGGTGTTCGTGCTGGGAGTTTCTTTCCAAACTGCTTGAGTGTTTGGAGATGCATGCACTTCAGAATGCTTGCGATAGGTTGGCATTAGATCCCCCTTTGTCCACTCCTTTCTCTGCTTTTCAATTCAAGGCTCTGACAGATAATTAAATGAACTTTGTGGTGGTACGACAGTGAAGTACCAGTGACAGCACTGATGTTGCTATCTCCGTTAGGCTAACGATTTAGCGCAAGCCGGACGCTTGACCTCCAGGCCAGGGTAGATTCTGGCCCCAACTGTCTACCATGCTAAAAGAAAAGAAGCTTTGCTTCCACTTAGCAAGGTGACGTCAGCTAATAGCAGTTACCTGCTTCTGATAAACGACACGTCTAACAGGTGGCCTTGAGATTCGGGAGCATTGGGGCATGGTCAGTTTCGAAACCATAAGCCGCGTAAAAAAAAGTATGGTGATCCCAGGCACCGTGAACGATGATAATGACACCAGTTGAAAACGATGTGTGAATGCTGCAGCGTGTGACGTAACTTAGCACTTCCTGAGCAAAAATGTAACCAAATGAAACATTTACGCGGTTTTCCGTGGTCGCAAAGGAATAAATGCGTACCTGGTGAGTTCGAGGACTTGTCACAGTTGTTTTCCCCAGAAATGAACGTACCCAATCAGTAACGGTCAAAATGGAAATATGACGAACTGACCGAAGGCAGTCACTGTGGCAAGGTTGTACTTTACCACCGTTTCATTAAATGGTAGCGAGAATGAGAAGACGGGTGGCGCACTGGGTGATGTGAAGTTATATTTTTTGCAAGAATGAGGTTGGGGATGGATTCAGGCTGAAAGCGCTAGGTCGGCTAAAGAAAAGCCATTGACTGTCTATTGGTGCGTAACGATCGATGTGGCGTACCCGGGATTTCGTTCCTCAGCAGCCAGTTGTTACTTACAGTCTACATCATTTCTTGATAGGTGTGGCACCTGTTCGTTTTAGTAGGGATTCGAGAATAACTCAGACGTACTTCTCCGGAGATACGCAGTGAAATCACGATGTGCGGTTGTTGCGGTATGTTTCAAAGGTGGTTTGAACTTTTTGGGTGAGACTGGATTTAGGTCCAGTAGCTGGAGCTAAGAACGTGCACTAGCACAGATTTTCTAACGTCCAAGTCTTTTCGACCAGAAGTTGCTCAATAGAGACACTACCGAAACACTGAGAAACCTAGAACATGCCAGAGTATTCCAATAATAAATTGAAAACCAGTGTACTGATGTCAGTAATAGAGTTACGGTACCGTACCTAAGACCAAACTAACTCCCTAACGACCCATCCCATCCGCCCTTCTACTATTCCCCACTGAATTTTTGACATCACGTTTTTAACACATCGACTACTCCAGCAGGAGTTGAAATCTTACGTAGGCCTCTTCATGATGATTATCGTTAACTCCTTGGCGTATCAAAGGCACTGCTTGGAATGATACCATCTGGAGATGAAAACCGAATATCCAGATGGAAATTCACATTACCAAAGCATGCAAGCCAGGAGCAAAGACTCCTACAGCGACAATCAATGGCCACCGCTAACAATACTCCCGTCACAGTCCGTCGTAAGCGCGGCTCTCATATAGGCTGATGGGTGTAAATATCGGTTGAACAAAACGAATGAGTGAGTCAGGTAAGACCCTCGAGGCAAATCGTGACACTAGCATATTAAGAGGTAACTACCACGTGACTCGAACTGCTTCGCCTACAACTCGGTGTAGTTTGGAGCAAACGAATCAGTACTGGCAAAATAGGTCACGTGACAGACGTAAGCTTAGTTGGCAAGATCACTCCAACTTGTCATGACACGATAACAAAAATAGGACACAATGGCGCAAACTCCGTTTAGTCTTGCTTATCAGTTCGTGCAAGGTCCCATAAATTAAATAAACCAAGGGTGTTGTTTCGACCGCGTCCAAGTACTTCTGCAGTATTTGCTAGGTATAGGCGGTTTAGTCTTGTTCCCCTTACATGGTTAATAGTACGGACAAGTCCCAGTCCTATTTACAGTTTGTGTCACCACATTTGGGCGCGTTTCTGTTCGCAGGTTGAAAGAGATGGCGGAGGGTGCATAGGTTCCCCGACATCAATTGGAAACTATAGTGTTTTTTAAACAAAGACAGCTTCACGGAAGGTTACTAAATGTTGATGGCCTAGATGGGAAAGGGAGGACAACTGTATCCACCTAAGGAAGACAGCAAAACACGGAAAATATCTCGCCATTCAGGACATGGCAACTGAAGTTATGGTGGGACTCACAATAGCGATCACCGGAATCAGCTGCCCGAGGCTGTGAGTAGTCGACGTCTAGAGGGATACGGAAAAAAGGTACACTGAAGATAGTAAACGAGAAATGTAGCGATAAGCGAATGAAAATGTTTTCATGAAAAATGGACTACCAATTCCCCATAGCAAGTAACGTGCCAGGTAGCACAAAATGAGTTTATACAAGCATAAATTTTCAGTTGGTCAGAACTTGACAGAAAAATGTGCTAGTTTCAACTGGATTTAAATTCAAAAATAACTAACAGAGTATGCAGAAAAACTCGGAACAAAAAGATTACCTACAGTGAGTCAAAAGTAGGACAGCACGACAAAAGCATAGGAGGACATACCATAACAGCATTTTTTGATTCCTCTTCAACATCTAACCGCACATACTGTTCAAACAACCGGCTCAAAAATCGATAGAGTTTTGGCGCACCTTGTAAAAAGGCGGCCAGGTTAGCAAAGACGTTGATAACCGCTTTGGACAGATGCCTGTAAACGGGGGAAAAAGTGTGTCATCCCAATAAATAATGTAAAAAGAGATGATTATGTACCAATCGGTAAGAAATTGACACATTTATCGCATCCGAAACAACGAGCTTTCAAAAGAAAGATATTGATAGTTACCTGTACCTCTTTCAAATCAAGGTTTATTACAGCAACAACGAAATGATGACTCACACAAGGTAGTTTTAACGGGACAGGTATACAGTTGTTAACCGACCAAAGATGATGTCCTTCAGAAAGGATATGACTGTTGAATAAATCGCTCAAAGGAGTGGATTCTTTAGATGGGGACAATTGCAGCACAAACTGTCGCACTTGATGGAGCTTTTAAACAAAAGGAGACATCACAAGATGCTTCACCTGCATGGGGGAATTCGCCCAATTGGTGTGAATCGATCTTAATTTTACAACCAATAAGACAGCATTCACAATTTAACCTTGTTCTTAATGGGTCTAAGCGCACACATGAGTAGAGCTAAGAACAAGATGGGACCAATTTTACACGCGCCAAAAAATCCGTCCTTGGATTTGGGAAAATTACTACTTGTATTCCAGTCGTGCTTACCACGATCGGGATTCGCTCACATTCCCGTTTGACACTGCTTCTCGAGCACCGCGAAAACTTGCCGCTGTGAGTAGATCCATTATTTGTTCGTGTACAGAGGGCTAAAGATAAGATCAAGAAGGAAAATAAGAACCCAACACGGGATTATCGAGCTTAAGCGTATCATAAGTGGTATAAAAAGTAACACTTAACAGAGGCAAAGATCGCGGGAGAGATCTTGAATTCATCAATAATGCAGAAATGTGGTACCATTAGGTAGGCTAGCAAGCCCAATAGACAGATCAACTAAAAGTTCCTACAAAATGTACATCCAGAAACAAATGCGTTGTGAATGGTTTTCAGGCCCGTGTAAAGCAGGGCGATAATTTTATGCCACAGACTCAGACAACAAATCGAAACCGCAAGAGTATTATTCTTAGGAAGAAGGAACATCAATCAGGGTTCGTGATTGAAATCTTCGCTGAGTAGCCGAAAAGCAATGCACAGTTTTTTAATCCATCAATGTTTCACTTCAGGCAGTGAGCCGATGAGGTGCGAGACTCCATGAGGATTCGAACCCTCAAAGTACCCCAGCAGAGTTACTCGATGGATTGGCTAGATGATTTCCAGTAAGAATGACGCTGTTGTAGTGATTAGTGGAAGGGGTGAGTACTGTGGTCATGACCGTTTCCCATAGGGACCAACGGTACTTTGCAATACGACCCCAGCTCTCTCCATCTTTTAATTCTGGAACAAAGACTTCTTTCGTCATGGTTATATGGCAGTATTTACCGCTGATACATAGTCAACATGATCATATTGAAGGTCAGGTGTTCATAAACGAATAAAAAGGGTCGAGATGGCGAATTTACTGACCGGAAGGTCTGTGGTTCGAACCCGACCTCTGCCTCTCGACTCCCTGTCTAGGGTTGGGCAACCTGGCAGCATCCCAGCCCTCATGCAACCTTCGGGTGGCATGGGAGCTAGGCACCGGAAAGGTGCTACAGCTAAACATTTACCGCTGATACATTGTCAACATGATCATATTGAAGATCAGGTGATCGTAGAGGAATAAAACCCGTGTGGCTGAGACATTTGGGGAAAATATGTGCCTAAATTCCCAGGGCGTTACTTTCAGACTGAAAGCTCAAAGTGCTTGGAACGAAAGTGTCGCTAGAGTGGGTAGAGAATCGAGTGGCACGGTTGGTGCTGAAATTGTACACAATCAAATTGCGCCGAATGAAATTGCATGAAATTACACGAATGTTAGCATTAAATAACATGTCAGTGCTTTAAAAACTGTCTGAGTCAATGCTGAACACGGAAAAGGCGGGAACTCACACATCCAGCGATCACCATACAACCCAGCTGCTCTAGGGTGACCACTTCTAATTCAGGAAGTAGTCGAGACGGAGTGAGATTTTGTTGAAGAAATTGAAAGACCAGTTGTTGAGTCTGCGCAACCTGGGCAAGTTCGACCCCAATGTGACCGAGACAGTAGACCGTGTTCAAGTACATCAAATTTGTATCCCTGTATGGAAGAGAAAGGTAAAACGAATGCTTCTGGGAACTCAAACAAAGCCACAGCGAGAGAAACAAGGTGGCTTGCAGAAAATATGGCTGAGTTTTAAAAAATGAAAAGGGATTGTCAAGCGTACTGGTGGAGGTGGTTAGGTGCTGTGTAATTTCAAACAAATCCAGTCACCGATAGGATTGAATCAAAATTGTGAGAAAGTGAGAAACGAAAACTGAACAAAAACAAGACTGAGTTCAAATTGTTATTGTTTGCCCTTTTCTCCGTGTTAGTGGATCACCTCTGATAATCTAATGTGATAAATGACGTACTTATATGGCGATTGCATATAGCTGGACGCTGTTCTGGACCAGCGAGCATAAAGCCTGAGATTGAAAATGAAAACACCTGAATGTTTCATGAGAATCAAATAATGTGTGGATACCGTGAAAACCCCACCGAGAAACAATAATCTGATATAATAGTTCAGTAGAGCACAGATCGGTTATGAAATTGGACACCTTGTCGAGGAGAAGATCAAACTTCAATTCAGGATACTCATGGGAACGAAAAAACATGAATAGACGAAAACACAAATAACGATTTATGGGAAACTCAGCAAGAAGATTCGTGTGGAAAGCGACCTACGCTACTTCGAGAAAAACTGCACAGAAATTGTCACCAAGTAGTAAAGGAACAATCTCCAAATGTGAAACTGTGCGAAAACCGCAAGTGTTAATCGTTCGCTTCCTAACACGTATAGTGTCAAACTACTTCGAGGTATCCATTTACAAACGCAACGTGCACTCAGATTGGTGTAAACCGTAATGTGCCACTGCAGAACTGAATGAAGTACACTTGGAGACCTTTTAGTCGATGCGGCCGAAAAACTCAGTGGCGTTAGTTCTGGTGCTTTAATAAAAATGAAACAGGTTTTTTTGTAGGAAAGAATAAGACAGCATTTCCAAAACTTCAGCACTTATGGCGTAGCAGTGACATCAGCTTATTCGTCAATAACAATCTACAGTAGTACAGTGCGGCTGATGCTACTGCAAGAACCAGGAACATGGCAGTTTTGAGCAGAAAAGAAACGTAAGCTTTCAACCTTTGAATGTCAGTGTCTCGAAACGTTTTCAGTGTCTGAATGGGACACCTGACTAGCAGTAATGAGATCCACTGAATGGTTTTCGGGAGAACGGGCTCTCTCACAAGTTGCTATACTGTGTTAGGCTGGTTATGTCACGTGCTCTGCATGCTGGGCACATACGCCTCGTGAGACCGTGGTGAGCGAACATGAGGGCGAGCGCCAGGAAGGATCAATCAATGCCCGACAAGCGCCTCATCGGTCAAACTACTACCGGTTCACTGATAATTTTGCTCGACAACTGGATTTTGTACGCACGCTTCGATAAGCATTTTTATGGATGGCAGTGCTATGGGGACTTTTGATGCCTTTACGAGGGTAACTAGGAGTATCACAGCTATATCTGAGAGGAATTAACAGTCCAGACCATATGTGTCCAGAAGAAATGGTGACCAGGCGGTGAATATAAACGCTGGGACAGTTATTCCGAACTGATTCTGATTTGTGCGTACAATTTGTGGAATGATATGAACGGTGACTCGGTAGTGATGAACGCCAACAAATGAGTATGTATCAGTGAGAAGGTGCGCGATGAGAAGTTGTGTGCAGACAGTCTAAATGAAAAGGGTACATTTGTGATGAAAATATAATCCTCTCAGTCGGTGGTCCCACAACAAATTTAGGATGATGATGCAGGTAGGTGCATCAAGATTGGAGACCAAGTGGGAACTAAACGAACAATTACCTGGTGATCACGCTGCAGAGAACCATTTAAAAAACGGTAGGTTGCAACACATTGAATATCTACGGACCAACTGAATGGCTATACAAGTCTCGATACATTCAGAATAAAAAAGCATCATGCACAGGATTTAGAACAGGACAAGACCACTCCGCTTCAACAAATCGGTAGAAAAGTGGATACCACTGAAGCAATCAAGTTATCCAAGAGGGAGAGGGTAATCTTTGGGTCCTCATATACGTCAAAACTACGAAAGCAGTTGCCCCTGACTCTCACACTTACCTCTTACGCCTTCTACTCTGCAACGATTTGCTAATCCTGCAATCATCCCAACTTTCACAGAAAGGAGAACAAACTATAAAAGTATGTTGTGAACTTAACCAGCCATCCTAGCATTAGGTTTTTGCTCTGCTCACATTCTAGATTTTCCGATTTCTAGTGAGCTAGACAACCCCACCGGTTTGTTATGGGATACTTGTTTAAATGCTGTGCAACAACACGCGGCAGTCAGCCATAGCTACAATTGAAAAGAAATGGGGTCTACAGAGCGCGGGGTGTGGCATTGTTTGAAGCGTATAGACACGTGACCCACGTGGTCAGTTCACCCATTCAGGTGAACTCAACAAACGCGCAGGCGGTGATGAGCAAAATGAATTGTGACAGCACAGGTAGACACAAAAAGTGAACATAGCGAAATAGGTAGTAATCCTGCAGAACTACTTCACATGACATGACCAGAATGGGGTGCATCAGAGAAGAGGTTAAGGAACCTCTGTTAGAGGACCAAATGCGGTCTATATGATCAAGTCACCACAAAGATTAAGTCACACGCGTTCTCGCAGAACTTTGTATGTTCATTAGTCACAATAACTGCAACAGCAAAGAAAATCTGTGGGGAAAACGACCTTCTAGAAGGTATCAGGCCAAATAACCCCGGTTGAGAAAAGATGCTTAACGCTCAAGATAGCTTAGTAGTTAAGACAGCGGCTTACGAATCGGGGGTTCCGTGGTTCGAAACTAACTCGGGAATCTCAGCTGTTCCTGTCTAGACTTCGGTAACATCGTACAACAACCTCTCAGCCCTCGTGCTCCCTTCGGATGGTATGACAGCTAGGCATCGACTAGGACAACAGCTGAACGATTACGTATTCATCTTAATGCTCCACGAAAATCAGTACATCGAAGTGTGTCGGCATTGAAGCTTACCGGGAGTGCTTACAGGAGTCCACAGCACCACTAAAGGGCGACTCTGCTTGAAACCGTTAGCTACGGTGAGGCATGAATGAAAATGAATGAATCGGAGCTCGTGTGGAAAGAACATAAAACCCACCTTCCACCTTCGGCTGCATTGAATATGCGGCGGGAGAGATCAGCCAGGAACGTTTCCACCAAATCTGTTTTGACCAAAAGTACGCTGGAACAGGGAATAAAATAAAACAATACGTACAGATCCCAGTCACTGAGAGGATAGAACGCGAACCCGTGACTTGTCCTTCATTGGACAAGTGTTCTACTGAATGAACTATCGGGGATGTTGTTTCACGTCCTACACATTTTCATCGGTTCCACGATGACCTCGTACAACTCTGCCAATCTGACTTGGAAGTTGACGTTCTCTAGCGAAAATTAGCGAGCCTCTTGTTCAAAAACTGATCTTTTCGATTGTGTACTCAAGTGGCCATCTAAGGTTTTCCAAACCCATGTCTTCTACATGAATCATTCGGGAAAAAACGGAAACTCGCCGAACACGCGGAAGACGCTACACCGCGTGACCTCCAATTCATATAACTCTACTTTAACTCCAGTAACCAAGTGGGCAAGAGAGGATGATTCAAAGGTTCTGCTAAACGCTTTCCGGGCCAGTTTTCTGAGAGGCAAATACTACAAAGTAGCATCATCTTCGTTTAGTCCTTATATCGCATGCTGGTCACTATCATCATCAAAGTCACTGACAGCAGTACACGTGTTAAACACTTAGGTTTAACTGTAGAACAACTCAAATGTGCAAAGAAAAATCTTAAAAAGAGGGGGACCCAGTACCAGCGCTCCAGAGATTCGGAGGACCTACATATCCAACACTCAGTAGGAATTTGGATAAAAGCTAGCAACAAGAACGCCAATGGCTCCGGTTTGTTGCCGCACCTTGCGCCGTTAATGGTTAAAGACAATAAGTGTCGCGTGACCCATCCTGGAGGACTGGTCGCATCCATGTTTCGTAACTTCATTCCTTTTTCCAGGTCGCACTTTACCCGTTTCTCTCGGTCTATGTTACCATCGAGGCACGAGACAGCTCAGTAGTTAGAGCGCAGATTTACTGACCAGAAGGTCAATTGGTTTGAACCCGACCTCTGCCTCTCGACTTCCCCTGTCTAGGCTTGGGCAACCTGGCAGTATCCCAGGCCTCGTGCTTCCTTCGAGTGGAATGACAGCTAAGCATCGAAAGAGTGTTACTATGTCACCATGGGAACAAAACTCCTCCTGTTAGCATGCGCAGCACACGAACAAGCCAGTGCACATTGTGTTGCTCGGCACCGTCCCGGACTGAAGCATTCACCTCATCACCATGCGACTCCATTCAGTCCCCAACCACATCCATTGATAAATGAATTGGAAATATCCATTGAAAGACTACACAAATTCGTTTTTGGAAGAAACGATACACCAAAAATCCATCCAACGAGACAGTCTACTCAATAGTGCACCGAGAACATGGTGCATATGGACACATCTATTGCTTGAAACTGAAATGCAAATGCACGATCAGACCAAAACAGATAATTTCAAAGTGAATCAGAGTAAGGAAAACTCACCGACAAACGCTTTGTATCGCAGCACCCCGAAGGTGATCCAAAATTCGGCGATAATAAGTTATATGTCTTTCTATACGAGCCAACTCAATCACTTCAGCCGATTGCCCGTACAGATAGGGGTCGGTCGCAAGGGCCTGGAAGAGGAGTACAGGGGACTGGTTGAGATTTTCACATTTCTAAACAATACCGGTGACTACTAAACCAAAACGATCATTTTAGCTACAGCATACTTATCGTTTTACCAGTCACGGTAAAACGGCTCGCCTGTTAAAACAAGTGACTGGTGTCTGGCGATAAAGTCCGAGGCCTTTATTGTCTTGAGTAAGACAACATCGCCAGCCGGCAACTAGACATCAATTTACAATGTTGGCCTCAGCAGACACCATTACCACAACTCCAATGCAGTTTGGATCAGAGCAACTGACACATGCACAAATACGACTAACCCGCAGATGCGCACCACTTGGCACTCACGACAATGAGCTACAGATGGACGCGGATTCAAGTCGAGAGCTGGAAGCAAATAATTCAACTCGGTGGGCGTGAGGGAAATGAGGACAAACGGTCCTTTTTGGGACGCTTGTGTAAGTAAACATCAGCCGACAGACACTTCACTGGAAAGGTTCTAAGGTGAGGACTCCTAAATTATTTTTTAAAGGAAATTGCATGTCAGACGAACAGCTCATGATCCACAATACCAATTTCGAAATTATTTGTCATCGGACAAAACTGCCATCAAATGCGACATCAGTTGCACGTTGTACATGGGGATGATGGTTATAGGAAATACATATGCACAGAACGTGAACAGAGAACCTGGAACAAAAAGGTTCCAGTAAAATAATGCTTCACAAATGCATGTAGTAGCTAGATTTCAAGATGACACGTATATCAATGCTTAAAGTTAGAACCGATCTTTAATCGTATCGATTGAAATAATGTGACGCACGATTTGATAGGAGACCCAACTGAATCCAGTTGAGTCTCCGTTTTACGAAGGTCCACTCCAACTGAATGTGCTGCAACAAGCCTTCACATATTTCAGTTGGTACGATATTCGAGATATCGCAGCCCTATGAGTATTGTGTTACGTTTGTACGATATGGCGTCACATTAATGACAACTGACCAATGGTAGCCAAAGGGGCTACCAGAGTAGGCAATGATTGAGCGTTCGACCCAAGCGAGCTTTTTTCCAGTGCAATTGTTGTGCTTCATCATAAATCATTAATGCCACTCATTCAGCTGCCTCGGTCACTTAATTCGTTAGACTGCTAAATTCAGTATCACAATCTACCAGGTAGAACGGCCGGTATACGTTCCACATGTTCCAGGTAATCGCACGAGGACACCGAAAGTGGGCACCCGTAGTTTTATGGGACTTCCAGCGTAAATTGCTTCAGATATCGGTTATGGACCAAGAAACAACCAGAGATGGCAAAATATGAAACAGTATAGCACCACCCCTAAGTGTTTGTAAACCTCACGCAGCGAATTGAATTCCACGCAATTCAGGATTCATGAGGGTGGTACATGAGTATCCAGCAGAATCGGGGTCAAGAGAGGGTAGTCACTTGGCCTTAAACCGGAAGCAATCACCCCGACAAACTAAATAAAAAATTTAGTTTTTACGAGATATCGCCAAAGGGTAGAAATTATTCGCAAATTGAGTAATGGGTGCGTCGATTACAGTAAATAACCAATGCCAGTTAAAATACGATGGCTGAACGGCTAAAGTAATCATGCATCCAGTAAGCATAGACAAGCATGGATATGGAAGAAAAACATACTTTTCGACTAGAAAGCGTATTGAACATCTCTTGTTGGGCGTTCTCCAGTCGACGTAGCTGTCGGTTCAAACGACTCAGGGTTGTAGAGGGTTCCAACAAAAAATCACTGAGCGAATCCAAAGTAGCCTTTGCCAGATGTGGAAACCGTTGTGGTAATTGTCCAGCACAATCCAACACGACGACCAACAACCCTGCGCTACACACCAGATGGCTACGGCTAGGTCGAGTGCCGTGTTTACCAGCAATGTGATTGGATATGGTAGTCTTAACAGCGGCGGTCGAGGAGGGCTGAGTGGAAAACTGACGATGGATAACATTTAGTTGTCCACGGATAAAATGTTGCATGCCACGAGCCGTTGCAGCAGCAACGGACTGACCGCCACCAGAAGTGAACAGAAGGGGAGTTTGGTCCAAATTTGGCTCTGAATGCAACATTGTCCGTAAATCAATGCCTGTGGCTACGCGCTCCAACAAACGGGTAAGCAGACTTTCAGAGTCTAAAGTAAATAAACACGTTATCGTAGTTATCGCTGTTACCACTACTTGAAGCAATTTAAAAAAAAAAGTTCTGTGAATATACTTACAGCTCTAACGCGAGCAAGAATTACTTAACGTCTGTGTTTGAGAACATTCGTAACTCACTCACCTGCCATATCGGTGACCACCTGTGTGAGAATCTGTACACAGACAGCTGTCGAAGCAGTTACGAGATCGAAAGCGAACAGCGCTGGCGCTGTGCGCTCCGTTCGGCTATCGCTCTTAACAGTAGACGGCAAACTGGTATCCATATTGCTGGGACTGTCAACCTGAATGGTCATGGACTTCAATGTAGGGTCCTCTGAATCCGACCGGGAGTAAAAACGCGGAGGAACTGATTTCTTGCGCACGTTTAACTAGGGGGAAGAACATAACCAATGAGAACTTTGATTATTTTGGGGTACAGCGCGTTCGAAATATCGTCGAGTGGAAGTAGAACCAAATCAATTCTAGCATTAGGGGAGATGAGATCGAAAGAAGCAAGATCTTGTCAATATAAACGTGGCGTGAAGCGTCGGATGGGAATCGACTCAAGGGATACTATAATACTGAGGGAGGAGAGCATGTACTTCTGAATACTCTGGATAACTAATGGGTTTTTTCTGCATGATTCATAGTCCTCATGGTCGGCCAGTCACTGGATCCATTAGAAATGGAATTGGGACTTCAACAGAACGTTTACTCAAGCAGTTAAGAGTAATGAAGGCCCGCGTGATATCTCATCGCACAACTTACTTATTTCAATTAGTATCATTCTAACCATAAAATTCGGTCGAATACACCGGTATCGCAAACCTATTGTATGATGTGTACAACATTTCTTGTAAGCCTCTCAGTAGTGAGATTTTTCGGTTCTTAAACAGGACTTCATCCGACAAAATTGGGTCCTCCTATATCGGAAGGATCCGAACATGCGCGATAGGTGAACTACCTGGCCCGAGGAAAATTTGAGATTGAACATCACGTTTTGCTGCCTGGTTGCTGCTCGGTTAAATTACGGTTAGCAGGTGCTGTCCAACTCCAATCGCGCAGGTTTCAGCCACATTAATTCGCTTTGAAAGCATCCCAAGTGTAAGACATTTTCGGATACAACCACAACTTCCATCTTGTGTATACGGTAACATTTTTTCAACTAGTGAGGAATGCTGAACACAACCGAAGAACTTCCAGTGTATTACGTCTAGACAGATCTTTTACAAGTTTAGAGGACAACAGGGCAAGTTTAGCTTTAATCCGAACGAAACGATTCAGACATTGAAGGCTCATCCCTTAGGATTAGGCTGAAACGGTGTGCCAAATGTCAAATGCGGACTGGGGCAAAATGACGCTTTTTTGATACGAAGTGAAAAATGTACCACTGAAAGATAATAAGTGGGTGCGCATATAGTCGATGATATAATAGGACAGAAGCTGAGACAATTTTCCAGCGGATATGCCACAATCATTTTCTCCATAAAGAGGACGTAAAAAGTGGTCTTTGTCTGGAGGCGCCTGTAAAAGGGGACGTGGATTTGTTTTGCTTTATTTTATGTGGTGCGGTCCAGGAAACCAAATCCGCCATCTCGATTGCTCCTGTCTAGGCTCGGATAACATCGTGCTTCCTTAAAATAGCACGTTAGCTAGGCAGCGAAATGATGTTACAGCTGAACCATTGTTATTTGTTGTTTTATTGGTCCGCGACAGCTAAATTACTTATTTTGCTACGACTCAGTGAATATAATGTCTTCTTTCATGCATATATCCCGTGATTGTATTTGGCCCTTCTAAGCGAATTGAGAATAAACACATCTTTACAAACAGCACTTTTTCGAGAGTCATTGCTGCCCACATGTTACACTTCCGTCAGCCGCGCATTCATTAGCTGTTGTTACTAAAATGTTACCCACTCGTTGCCTTCCCTAAGCAACCGAATCACTGGGCTATGACGCTATAAGACGCGGGTTTCATTTGTTTTTAAACAAAATGAAACAAATCCAGCAGATACATTTTTTTCACTCCACGCCAAAAAAACTATGCCTAGTTTCCCGAGTAAACAACGACCTGATGACCCCTGCAATACCAAATTACGAGTGCTGTGCACGGCAAGCTAATCAATGCTCAAAACTGAGCGAATTAACCTTATACGAATGAAGTGATAGCATGTACGAAACTACACATTCAAACCCTCCTGGTCACTTCCCAGTCACACCTCTTCTAGGAATTCGCTTCACGACTGAGTCAATTTCGGAGCCGCGCAAATCGCGTCGCAAGCCGAGCCCCTGACGTAAGTTCTCGATCAACAGCTGAAATGTTGGTGATACGGCTGCTTGACAGCCAATTTGTGTGATTCCAGTCTAAGCCACCCCCATCACTCTTTATCACACACTATTAAATTCCCTGTCTCTTTGACCTAATTCACACCAGTCAGTTACAGCGGTGGTTTCACGTGCACTCACTGCAATACCAGTCCAAAATGTATGATAACGATGTTGTAGGTGTGTTTAGTATGGGTCAGTGTTGCAACTGTTTTAAATAGTTGATAGACTATTCTGCGTCAGGCAAGCCACCACAAGCTGTGTCCCGACAACCAACATGAAAAAAACGCAGAAAGTCGAAGTATGGTCCATTCAGTACAACAAAGTGGCATCAAAAGCAGATGTGAGATAATTGTTAAGGGCGATAGGTATAGCGTACTCTAACTCTGAAAGTTCAGCCCTATCAATGAGTGTCTGGAAATGAGGAAAAGAGAAAAATTGATAGTATGGGGGAAATGGGCTATTCGTGTAATAAGTTGAGCACGTGTTACTGATAACATTCTGTTGGAGAGAGGCCATCATACGCATGTTTGAGTGATATTTGGCTAAAGGTAGTCTCCACTGAGTTTTTTTCATCTATATCGACTGAAGGATAGGAGGACGGCTATTATGCAGAAGGACCCTAAAGGAGGGAATTTGTGTACTTACGTAGGAGCCAGGGGGATCGCCCAACACCAGTTGCCTTGATTGTTAACTAGCTCGTAAGGTCTAATCAAACTCAGTCCCCAGGAGATGCCAGTTTGAGTGTTCCATACCTTCACAATAACAGCAAGCAATGGACTACAACGAGTAAATGGCCCCCCGTTTGCAGCCAAGCAAAGGTAAACGATAAATGTTCCTCGTTTTCAACCAAGCAAAACGGCTGCCCACCTCCCCGCGTGAGACAAACGCAGCCACATATTCCTATTTAAATATATGGTGAACCATTTGTAGGTATGCTGAAGAAACACACTCGCTCCTATGGAAAAAAATCGTTCAGTTGTAACATACTTCCGGTGCCTAGCTGCCACGCCATCCGAAGGGCTGGGATACTGCCAGGTTGCCCGAGCCTAGACAGGAAAAGTCGAGATGCGGAAGTCGGGTTCGAACCACAGTCATTCCAGTCAGCAATTTTTTAACCACTTGAGCTATTTCGCTCCCCACCCTCGTATTCAGTAGAACGCTGATCTGCTGGAGTTTTGCTTTTATGGGTGCTTAAGTATGTTGTCGGAAATCCTTTGGTAACAGCTTTTCCTATGATGATACTGGTGAGGCAAGCCAATATTGCCAGCTTCATTCCACTGTAGAAGCCATTCAGAGATACTGTGGCTCCACATATGGAACTGTCACTAGTTGTGGATACCACGTATGCTCACTTGGCCTACCGTGTTTCCCGAAGTTCCTATTTGAAAAACGTAGTTTGCTGTAGGTGCATGTTGACACATACCACCCAATTTTGCAGTGGATTTTTGGTCATTTTCGAATGCATGAGTTTTTCACTTGTTTCAATTCTCCAATCTGCCCTCCAATAAACAAAACTGTGGAAACACTCTCTGACTTATCGCAAAAGTTGTGGGAAAATTCGCGCAATATTCAATGAGTGGCTTGATTGTATCGAAGCGGTGCTGAACATCGAAGAGAATTAGTTGCATTGGTTCAATGCAGATAACTAGCAAAGCTCTGTAGAACGAGTTGGAAGTGACGGATGCGCCATTGACCACATGAATCATTCACCCAACATTGAAGCTGTGTAAGCTATGAATGCCACTCGCTAACGCACTTAACAGGCAGTCCGATTACCACCCTACTAAATCTATATCTTTTTCAGTCTACTTTTCACTGTTGCGCAGCAGGAAAGGATGGTCAGTACAGCCAAAGATTGGAGCAGAAAGAAGTCCAAATAAGAACAATAATTTTGGTTGCTTCTAAAAGTAAAAGCCTTTCCGTTTAGACTGGTTGTTGCTTAGTCCACAATCCGGTCACGTGCGCAAATAGGTAGTATTCAAGCAACGCACGTATTAATATAACCAGACAGAACCTACCAAGCCGTTGTCATTGTTCTTATCGGACAGCTGGCCATTTACCAAGCCATTCAGTTCTTGTTCGGGGTTCGGTGACTGGCGGTGATTTACAAGGGAGTGATCCTTGCGGTCTGCCTGATCCAGTTCTTCATCCTCATCGGTTGGATTGCTAAAACGCGGACGACCTGCTCGCCGTAACGACGCAGAGAGCGTGTTTGCTGAGTTAACAAGAGAAATACGCCTCCCACCGCTGGCTGGGGCCTCAACCGTCGAAGTAGGAACGCCAGCAGCCTCAGCTGACAACCGTGGTAATTCACTTATACAAGTACTATAGACCTCTAGGATTAGTCCTTGTACGCTGTTCAGTACTTTCTCCCCGACATCTGCTGAAAGGAATGGGAAATAGTGCAGATGTGAATTGCAGAAAGGCTAATTCTTCCTAACAAAGTCTAACACCAGTAATAGGGTTGCGCTACACAGCTGCCAACTGGTTGGGTAGCACGACGCCTTTCAGGTCAAGACGTCTTGACATTTTTCATATGATGTCGCGGTAAGGTTTTTAAAATGACTCGATTCGAATCGAAGTGTCACCACAAGAATCTAAAGAGATCACGATGTCAAGGTAAGTTTTTTCCAGAATTTTCCAGAAGAGCTGTACGGATCAACCCACACTCAACATCGACTCATCTTTGGATGTCGATTCCTGTTGGGTTATTTTGAGAACCTTATGCAAGCATTTTATTAAAAAGAAACTGGCATACACCGTCTGGGTCTTCCGTTATTATCACATAAGAAATCCAGAATTTGGAAACTGCACACCATCGCTCAGAAAGTATGAAGCAGCTCGGAATTGTCAGTTCAATTCTGGAAATCCTATATTGTATCCGGTTTTCAGTAGTTTTGAGGAAATTCACTAGACTCATGTACCCTAATTTCGAACCTCGTGATCGCAGAAACGGCAAGTGAGATGAAAAATTCCCCTAGCGAGCTGATCAAGCAAAAAACGATGTTACGTTTACAGAAACCGTGTATTTTCCAACCATGGACACTTCAGAAGGGCAGTGTGACAAGATTGTGAAGATCTTACGATCTATCGCGCATCCCATACTCATATATCGGCCAGAAATATGAGCGGTGCCAATGAAGGATAAGTAAACACCCTCAGCTAATACTAGCTACGAAGCTATATTGCTTCAAGGTACAACAGGTTCCCAAGCGATATACGGTTGACACACAAGCTTGAAACTTTTGACATCTTACAAATCTTACAAGCTAATATACAGGAAAGTGGTCAAATGATTTGACCAATAATATCCCGAGTGTAGATAAACGAAGATACGTACAGAATAAAGCTCGGGTAGGAGTCGGGAGAGATCCACCAGAGGAGACCAGTACACAAAACTTGTTTTTTTCGGAGCATGGAGATAATTCTTGACATCGGATTAAATAGTGAGAAAAGCAACTCACCACGATCAGGATTGTGTAGCAAATCGCGGATAAGCAAAAGCCAACAGAGCCTGAGACAATGTGCGAGAGACCGATACGGATACCGTCCATTCTTCGGCCGACACTATAAAAGGAAAAGTTAGAACTTTCAAAGCGGGTAAAATGGATTCCGGTACAGGGATGATGTATGGATTTCAAAAACCATTGACCGTCTTAAGAGATAATAAAATTCAAAGGGGCCACGTAGTCTGATCGTTACTAGTTAAAAGTCATAAACCGTCTGATGACCAGAATGTCTCTCCACAAAAAATGAACCCATATGATGTAAAAAGAAGGAACTGCTCGGGTTCTGCTTCATTTTACTAGTCAGGAAGTGTCCACGGTGGGTTCTAGTTAAGAGAGTGAAACACAACAGGTTTGTAAGGTCATCACGCTGTTAAAAGCCGGGAAGTGTCTGCTGAAGCTACATTGCAGCCTGCTGAGCCATAAGCTGCGCGAAAAATAGTTAATCGAAAGTCGAACGAAACTAAATAGGTTAACATTGTGGCAAGGCTGATTTTTGATCAGCTGGTAGTTGATCTCTTCGCTAAGCGTGGCATTTGGCGTGCAAACATTTCGCCCCCATCGTCGATGCGCAGACAGACAATTTTTCCTGGTACAGCGACGAAATGTTTGCAGGCCAATTGCCAAGCTCGGCGAACAGATCGACGACCAACTGACCAATAACCAATAAATACACCTGAGCTTTAACCATTTAGGAATATTTCCACCCTTAGCTTGTTCAAATAACAATAACGCTGTGATCTTTGACAATGAAGCACTTAAACTTCACATGGATTAGAGAATGGAGTTGGCACCCATGATAAGCAATGTGGGAAGAGGTTATCAAGGAATGATAGTACACAAAATTTCAGAAAGCAAACTCACTGGCCAAAACGCGGTGGCTGCAGCATCCAGACGTTTCATTGACCGGTCACTCATCAACTGACTAGACTGAAAAAGGTGGGATGAACCACATGGACTTAATGATGTGGTGAAAAAGGAAGCTACGGAACACATAGCTACGTAAATCAGATCACGTCATAAGGTTGTACTGTCGTTTCAAGGAGGATCTAGGAACACATTCACAAGAAGCACGGCATCTGATGTCGTTGGAGGTGGGGCATGCCCGAGCAACGGAAAAGCCAAAAATGTACTCAAGCTACCACCACGAGTTCGCGTGCAAAGCAGCGTCATAATGGGATCGCGAGTAACACAAGTCAGTCAACAACTATCATGGACTCATTAAACTCATTTAATACATCTAAGACCTGCCCTTAGGGCGACTATGGATATATTTTGCCTCAATATGCACTTTCTCACTCGTAGGAGAATGTTCTGAAAAATATGCCTTTCCGTTGGGTCTGCTAAGCACTCCGGAGCCATCCGTTTGAACTGCCTCTTAGAAGAAAAACTTTCGTCGATCCACTCTGGAGGGCTCTCCAAAAGGGGAAAAATATATAATTCGCTCTCCCAAGTAAATTCACATGTACGTTTAGTACCGCCATTATAGTGGAGGGACATTTACCTATTTCTGGAGAGATCATCTAGGTGGACCCACCCAAAGTGCTCCTTTTTGCGAGGGTCGCAACCTTCGTAAAAATGACAAAAGACCAACCAGCAATAACCTTTATGAACGGTGGTCTCTCCTGCGAGTACCACCCAGAGGACGAAATTGTTCGAATTTGAGCGTTTTATCCTCTGTTCAATTGAATATCAGATACCTGAAAGGTCATACTACTGCGGCATGACAGTATTTTGAAGGTTTGGGAAAAAAACTTAGACTTCGGATTTAGTTTTTTCAGTAGCATGCAATAGATATAAATTAATTATCAAAGGGCATGTATGGCGCTCTTATTAGCGCAGAATGGGCTACCACAAGAGACAGGAACACCGTACAACGTGATTGCTATATGAAGTGAACCACACAAATGAAGATCAATGAGATGAAAGCAGTCAACTACTCCCCTTCTCATGGATTGTGAAAATAAATGGATATATATGACCAGAAATCAGGTCAAGTATCACAAAATTCAGCCAGGCGTTCCAGGCGTTTCCTGAAAAAAGTTCTAGTTCAAGAGCCCTCTCTCTCTAATGTGAGCTATTTAGGGGTAGAAGCCAATGCAAGTGACTCTAAATCCGGAACGCCTAACCCGGAGGCATCTCGGTGAGTCAGAAGCTAAGCTCCGAAGATAATCTTTTTCTGGATGAACTGGCTCTTTTAGAAGGGGTAAGTCCTGTCGGACAGAAACGAAAGTATTTTTTGAACCTTACCAGTTTCAGTAAGGAGCGAATTTGGTTACTGTTGAAGGGTAAAAATGCCAGGTCGCTGGCACCGATCAGTTGACTAGAACGGCTCAGTGATACCAGTTGTGGAGCGGTCAAGCAACTACTGAGGTAATCCTCGCACAGAACTGCTCGATGAGGCAAACGACTGGCATAGACGGATGCCACCTGACCGAAGAGGTATTCACTTCCACCAGGATCCAACCAGGCAGAGTTCCACACGGACCACTCAACTTTGGCGGTTGACGCTGACGAGGGAACGGGAACGTTGCCGAAAGGGCTGGCACTGATATTAGATACTGAAAAGCACGAAGAAAATGCGTACAAGAAGCTGAAGAATGGGAGTGAAATAGGTCTGAAAAACGTTTGACATCGCGAATCACAGCGAATAGTCAAAGCAAGTAGTTTTACTGAAGAAAAAGTTATTTAAATGGGGAGGCTACGAGAGGAGTAGCACGTCTACAATACAATTCTGTGGTTCGTCACCGGCTAACATCGACCCTAGCTTGTGACTCTAATTAAGTGGTGGGTTGACCAGGATGGAAAGGATTCAGAACCCTCAGCCACTGGATGGAAAGCGATGTAACACCGAGATATTCAGCTCGGGATTGGTGGTACCGTTCTTTTGTAGCGATGCTGTTTGATTCTTAGGATAGTTAACTCAAACATCAGCCTTAATCTAGTTGCTACTGTATACAGAAATTCTGGATGAACCATGGAGAAAATGTGAAGGAAATAAGGTGGTAAATTCTCAGGATTCACTAAGAGAATGATGTCCAGCTTCTCACGGGAAGGTGGTTTATCTTGGGACGGGTCACACACTAGAATTCACCTGAAAGAGGTCTCTCTTCAGTTGACTGCGGTAGTGACGTAAAAAAACCCGGAGTCACCTTATACACCATTCTCGAGATATTCTAGAGAGATAGGTGATGTGAGTTACAGAGTAGCTGGAGGGGAATCGTGCGAACCGCTCCAAGTGATACCAGAATCGGATGAGTACGTGATAGACCCGTCACTTATGGAGAGACTGTGATTTGCGAGATGCTATATAAGAAAAATAAACTGTATTTTCCACGTATGCAGGGCAACAATTCGTTATGGAGTGGATCGTATGCACAAAACTTGACCGAAAGACCAGGAAAAAGACCAATCGAGACTTCTGTGGTCAACTTTGGAAGCAAACCTGAGTACCTAATTCTCGCAGTTACAGTTGGACTCAACAATTAAGCTGTTTACAATGCATTAAAAACACGGAAACAGTGTTGTACCGGCCATAAGCCGGATAGTGCTAATTTTCCGCATTTTTACAAGAAATCAATGTTAGTCTTCATGATTGCAGCGGTAACACAGTTAGAAAACTAGAAGAAACTTCAAATTACTCATTAATTCGCCAAAAGTTATTTAGTCCCTTTTACACTTACTTTTCAAATGAATGCAGATAGACATCGTATATGTCCGCAGAAACGTATTGGGTACACGAAGAACAGCTGACTAACCATTCGCTGTAATGTGGTTATGAACCGGATGAAATAACAGTCACAGATCAGATGTTTACGATTGACGATTCTGCTAAAACTTTAGGTTAACCAGTAGCGCACACTTACGACATCAGTAATACAAGGAACCACCCTCCTGGTAGTGGAAATATCTCTAACCTCTTCCCCCATGGCATTAACGGCTCGTTTGCACGTGTCGTGTTTCCTCAGCAGGCGGTCGACAGAATCCACACAACACTAGAAATACGTCCTCAAAACAAGGGCAGCTTGGCCGTAGCTGAGACTTATGACTAGCATTCACGATACCAAGGGAGAAAAGCTAGCAAACTGCAATGCATCTTCTCGCTCGCTTGCACAAGATTATCTGACTATTCTGCCCAGTCCAGTAAACGCGACTACTATGGAAGTTTAGTGTCGAGAACCTATCTCACGGGAGATAGTTTTTGCTTGGACCGTACTATGACGACTATTGACGTAATTGGCGCAATTGGTACAGCCACCTAAAGTGTTTTCCTCGTCCGCGAATTCTAATTAAAGGCTGTGATTCCTGTGACTATATTAGCTACGGATGTGGTACAAAATTGTTAGCACTTGCACTCGACGTCAAATCAAGGACAAAACAATATTAGCTGTCCACTCGTCCATTATCGGAACATTTACCTGCAGTAATATCACGTAGCTAGTCATCCGAATGAGATTAACCTACTCCATGCCATACGGCAGACAACCCATCGTCAACCAGCATACTGCTTACAAGGCCATAAAGCTCCCCTCCCCACGAATCCACGAGAAAGCAATAATATGATGTGAGAGACAACGCCTGGTTAGTATGATGTATTCAGACTTGGGTCGAGGTCTTCAAAGGTAACATAGCGAGGGTAGGACATCGGAGTGGCTCACAGAGTTCTCAAGATAGTTCTCAAGACAGTTCCCTGTGTGAAGCAGACAGAAGTTAACAAAAGTGATCTATACGGCGCCAACTGACAGAAACTGTGGTCAGATTTGACCGCGGTTGGCCATAAGAGATCACTGTGATACAGGGATGGCGGATTACCGTCAGTAACAAAAGAACAAACCAAAGTGAAAAGTCGAAATTCCCTATGCATGCAATGGATATGCCATATTTGATTTTGGTAGAGAATGAAGACGTGGTTCCCAAGTCAAATTAGACTAAATTGAGATTTTTAAGTTTAAACGGTCTAACACTCAACTGGAGAAAAAACGTACGTTTCCAATAAAAATTAACCGTGAGAAAGTACAAAACTGTCTTTTCCCCTCAAAGATGGGAAAAGCGATACCCACCATGTTCACACTTATCATTATCTATGTACCTAGGGATAAAGCTCCAACAAAAAGCATCCGTAGAAACGACGTTGAAAAACTCCCAACTGCTTCGTTTTATAGATACCTACCTTTAATTTGGCTCCATGAAGTTCATGCGGGTTTCGAGGCCTGTGACCAATCGGACATGATACTCATGCACACAGACATATGTCTCCAGTGTTAACAGACACATTGGTTATCACAAAGCAGAGGAATCTCCCTATCGTTGCTAATCTGGCCGAAGGAAACCCGTAATCTGAATCCTCTGAGTTGATGTCGACTGGTCATCCACAGCTCTTTGCTCGACAAAAATACAAATGACTCATGGTGTATTTTCATGCTCAAAAGCGGCCGATGGCTGAGCCATAAAAAAAGCAATATGGCGCTATAAAAATATGTTTGTCATTTCTGGAGCAGTGTCGGAAAAGGTTTGTCAATCCGTACAAACAGAACTGGTAAGCTAGTAAGCAAGAGCAGTCCCGCACTTTTGAAACCACTCGACGAATCCAAAAGTGTAAATTGACAGTCGGAGAGGACGTCCTCGAGAGCTAACAATGGCAGGAGACCATCTACGCTACAACTTAATGAACGATCACAACTAGGCTTACTAGACTTGTAAAATTACAACCTGTAAAATTGCGACGAAGGAGCCCATAAAATGTACAGGCCGTCTTAGAGTTACTTGACATGTGAAAACATACCATTAAAGCTCTCATTGACATCGTCTTTTGAAGTGAGCATGAGCGAATGAGCGAGGGAGTGAGGGATGATGGACTGGAATTGAGGGAAAACTGATAAGGTGAACTCCTGGTCAGTTTGATTATTAGTATCCGAGCAAAAGGCACCGGGGTGGTCACTGGAATGTTTCTTATTAGCGTATCGATAAGGATACAGGCCAGAAACCACGCTAGGTGGTACCGAAGAACCGGAGATACGAGGATGAAACGAATGTGGGCGTATTCCACGAGCCATACCACGTAAGAGGCCCATGAGCGAAGGCGCGAGAAAAAGACAAACACGCTCGATGGACGCCAACTGCGCGGAACCTTTGGTGACGTCAGGATTGTATTGCATTGTGTTGTGTCGTGCACGCGGCTGACGCAAAAACGCAGAAAAGGCCGTGCCGCGATCACCAAACTGTTGGCAAACATCGTCTATTTGTTCCAACAAACTGCTCGCAGAATCTAACAACGTTGAGATTATCTACAAGCAGTAACGGAAAAAGGGGAAACGTCAAGATATCCAAATCAGCAGGTGTGCAGAAAAGTGGACAAACGGTAACACGCCAGGTTTCCACTGAATTTTGACGTGAAATACATCATTATTTCGGTAAGGGTCTTCCTCGAAGTCTCAAAATATGAATAGTCGAATGTTTGGACCGGCTTTTGAGGTTCGAAAACTGACTTCGAGGTGTTTAGGATTATTACTGAAAGATGCGCAGAAGCTAGAGCTGAGCGAGATGCACAGTAAAAGAAGCACAGTCCTAGTGCTGGAACTAACAGAGTATTCGCATAGAGTGGAGTAGAACATAAGAGGGAATACACGAAAGTGTAAAAAAGGCTGCGTCAGCAGTCACGTATTTTCGTTTACTCGACGTGTTCTATCCAGTAAGACAACCTGCCTAGTGACACCATGGCCCAATTCTTTCCCATGCACCACTTCTGGAAGATCCATTGGATGTAGAACACCCTGCGCTTCAGGGTGAAACTGCGAAATCCCAATGATCATCAACTGCTTAAGATAAACATAAATAGCCACTCCCAGAGATTGTGCACGACACAACCCCCGATGGAGAACTTGTTACAGATTGCCTGGTACACTAATGAGGAATGGTTTCCGCGTGGTGCTAGGTTTGTGCGCTGTACAAGCTGACCTCCGTATACCACTGAGGAGCCTGTAACCAAACTAACCACAGCGCAATCAGCTATCAATAGCGTCGTCCAGTCCTTAGTTGCCGGTCGTTTTCGGATACACAGGGTGATTCAGATCACGCTCTTGTTCAGTACAGATTTTCATTCAACATGCGCCGTAAGCCCCAAAAACAAGCTCCCCAATTGGCGGTAGAACACCTCTATGGGCCACAATTTAGGGAAACATATCAAGGCATATTATGTTACTACTTATTTTGGAATAAGGCCTTCTAGAGAATCGGGGCCAACCATTGATCGCACGTGCCCAAAAAGGTGCCCGAATCACGTGTCTGAGCAGCGACACGCAGTTTTATGACTTTGAAGAAGCGTTTAACTCGATAAACTATCTCTCCTAGAAAACCATAGCCAGATGGGATGACCTTGAAGCCCGTAAACACTCTTCGTGCCCTTTATTTCCATACCAACTGTGAGGTTAGGGTGTCATCATCATCATCATCAACGACAGCAGGAAATCAGTGTTCAACACCGATGCTTCACTGCTGTGCAGTGTACAGCTGTTCAAATACTTGTTGATATCTAATGAAGTTCTCGAGGTTGTCCTCTCTTTCCCTTTTTGTTCAAATCTATCATCGACGTTAGCACGGAGTGCACACTCCAAAAGACCGTGAATCTGAGTATCGAAATCACGCCTGGAGATGGATTAATCGAATTGATTAAGAGGACGACATCGTTTGGACTTTTGAGTATTATTCGTCCGCGAAAAGTACTTCATACAGAATATCGGATGTGATCCCATGTTTCGGCATACGTTTTGCATCTCGAGTGTAAAGCCCCACTCCAAGGTTTCCCATTGTATCGCACTTTACTGGAACTTCAGAATTAAGAGCTTGAATTCTTTTGGCCCTTCCGATTGTCTTGGTAGCTGCATAGACTGTGAGTGTGGTGTAACAGATGAAGTCAATGCGCGAATAATCGTGGTACGAGCTGCGTTCACCAACTTGCGTCATTTGTGAGATCAGAACCTAATTTCTCTGAAAATAAATGGCCGTGTATAATGTAACAGCTGTCTTAATTTATGGTTGTACGACTTCGCCCCTCTGATTCGAGAACCCTAAGCGTGTTCAAAATTTTGATCGGTGTCTCCGTAGCATACAGGATATAGGCGGTTGCGGCGACTACGCAACGAGGTGTTGCGCAAGCGGGTAATTAGTGACGAATCCGAATGGTTAGAGAAGCAGATTAAAAATGCCAGATAGATGTGGTTATGTTGCGTGGTACGTACGCCCAAATATCGTCTACTCAATAACTCGCTGGTTTTTCCTCCAAGTGACTGCTATTGAATGGCTTGCAAGGGACAAGCCATTGCATGGCAGCAAGAAATCGGTTACAGTCAAGTTGAGTATTGCGGGAACTTCGCAACTACCGAGCTGTGGCAAACGTGATCTTTGCAGGACAGGAAACCAAACTCAGGAGTGCGCACGCTGTCATTCTTTAGCAAGACTGTCTAGTGTACGATTGCCTGCCGTTGTACGGCAGGGTTATATTGGGTAAGCTTCACAAAAGGCACTGGGTCAATACCCCAATTGGACATGATGAGCCGATGTGTTTAATTAATGGTGTCCAAAGGTCTAGGACTTCTCCGAACTAGGTTCCTACCCCTCTAATTTCGCTCCACTTTTCACTTAGGATTTCTTCCCCAGTAGTTGTATACCAGTTAAATGAAAGTATGTATTCCTGGTATATTTGTCAACCATGAAAATGAGGATACTCAGCATTCCTAGTTTACAAGAGGTCTGTTTCCATTCTTCGAACGTGAACGTGTATACTCTTGAATGGCTCCAAACCACGTTGCTTTTTTACGATAATGACGGTTAAATCACATAGACGTTAAGCAGCAGGAGTACACAAGCTTCAGTCATCGATGGAAGTCACTCTTCAGCGAAACAACTTTCCCGTGTCCCATCTCGGCTCAGACGGTGGAACCTGTGCACAGTAGTAGTAGGAGTCATTGACTACACTAGTTACGGAATTTTTCGTCTCGTGAAGGAACACTTCCGAGTCGTTTGTGGAACAGAAGCGGTCGGAAAGTGGGAAAGCTATCACATCGGCAACACTGCTTCGTAGAGGCTAGCTTTTGTGAAAGAACGAGCTGCCTCCGCACACACAATGATCGTAGAGAAGTTGGTGAATACTAAGGTCCACTACTACCTCCAGTGGAAAACAGCTTCTAGCAAAGATTATGTAAAGATTCAGGAATCACGTAGACCGCTGCCAAGAAGGTGCGAAAATACCGCACCACCAAGCTAGGTTGCAGGCCCTTCCATTCTGTTCAGCCACGTCATGGTCTGTCCCGCTAGAATGAGTTTAGAACAAAAAGAATCTTCCTTGATAAACCGTAGTTGGACATGCGCAGTACGCGCATAACCACTTAAACCTGGCGAGTTTTATTTACAGTACTCGTTGTTCTGCATCTGTGCCAATTAACTCATTCGCAAACCACTCTGTTGCGTAGATACTGTAGCCAGCTGGCTCCTCTAAGAGGACACCGGCGAAAAAGGTTTAGAGGTTTTTGGAAGCTGCAATTCACATGAGGTAACTTCCGCAACCATAATGTAACGTATTGTATGCATTGCATACACTGCCCTTCAGCTTCAGTAGCGCTCGTTTTTGACGCCACTTATGATACAAGTCCACAAATGTTGCTCGGATACCGGTATCGTGTTCATTTATTTCATTCATCACGGTGAAATCACAGCTTATGTATCTGACACGCATACCGACCAGCAGTCTCAAGCTTTTCAACTCGAAACCTCAAAGGGTAAAAGACACTGAAACGTTTGAAGTGGAAATTCGTGCTTTGAATGTGCAGAATGCACCACAAAACAAGGGACCATTTCACACACTATTTAGCACAGACTGCACAGACTGGATCTGTGAATAACAAAACCATGTCGCCCGAGCTATCCAAGTGAGTGTGCATTGTTATCTTAAAAGCGAAAAGATTGAAGAGAATAGTGGCAGATGACAGGCTTGGTAAATCCCACAGATTGTGATAAAACTGGGACAGTTCATTGTAAACCGTACCACATCCAGAGGTGCTGGAGCTTGAAGCAATGTCCGACTAACTGCCACAGGATGAACACCTGGTTATCATCAAGACGGAAGCCTGGATTATAGTGGAACCTTCATTTTCAAAATATGCAGCGGGAGAGGTCAAGACCATCGCGGCAGTATCTAATGCTAATTCGATACGCCGAAAGTCTTACCAAAAAGCAGGTCGTCCACCTTGGCGAATCAAGTTAGTCCATTCGAATGAAAATACATCCGTTTTGCAAATGGAGCAGGATGTTTGGTAAGCAGGTTCGAGCAGTACTATGGCGCAACTGTTGTAGATTCAAGCAAAAATGTTGTCTTGGTCTGTGTTGCTTGGTTCTTCCGCTGCTTGCGAAGATGCGGCACAGTCAATGTCGTATGGGGATAAAAAAGTTCATAATATAAAGATGGTACATGGTATCTGGGTGATCGTGCAATTACATGTAGTGGTTTATCAACCTTGTGAATTCACCGTTAGTGTCTTGGATCGGCTTGTGTCCAGGGTTGCTTAGAAGAGGTTTGGGTATTCAGTGCTGCCAAGCAAATCAGACGACTTTTCGCATATTCCACTATTTCCGCAGAGTGGTGACTGAGGTAAGCCCGGGACTAGTGCATCTTTCCGTCCTAAAATACAGTAGCCACATAACGCATCAATGTGGAAAGGTTTGGCGGTTTCACAGAGGATCATAGTGCTCTATGAACGCAAAATTGTCTCAACTCGGACCGCAGTACCCTACTGCTCGATACTTGCAAACTCGAATATTCTTGCAGGCAGGTCAGCAGTCTGGAGTCCAATGTTATTGTTTGGCGGACAATGTTTCGAGAAGACAAGTGTTGGCACCGCCTCGGGCATGGGGTAGGCTGACTATGAATCGCGCAGAGGCATGCATGATTGGTCTTCGCTGGTAACAAATACAGCCCCTCCACACGACTCGGTCTTTCGCCATAACGTCATAAAAAATTGATGGTAGTAGGGAATGGGTAAGCCAAGTGTAGGTGGGTAAACCCCAAAATCGTGAAATAAAACGATTTGATGTGAATCAAGAGGACTAACATCCGTGTGTCGCCTCCATTCACTTCGGAGTGGCCCGTTGCGAGGAATCAAACACTGGCACGTGGTTTGCGGTTGAAACAGTGTGGATAGCAACCAGAGTTCAGGTTTAAAAAGCTAAAACTTGTCTGATGCCGGTCTAAAACCAGACGAACCTTTGGGATTTACGGAACGGTCTAATTCATCAAGCAGAACGTGTCGAACGTCTTATATACCAATGGGCATTAGGAAGGTTATGTCAGGGCTACGTCAGAAGAGAACAAAACACACTGACTTTAATAGATTGACCTACCAAATCCGATCTTGAGGGATCCAACAAAGCAACCTGCGTCAGCAAGCTCGAAAGACAGAAACTGAAGCATTCAGACTGTGGAAGTCCTAGAAGCTAAGATAGAACACCAGAAGGAGCGCCTTTGTGAAA